TGGGGTTTAGGGTTTAGGGTACGGAAACTAGGTAACCTGACTTTTCACACGTGATCACGCTCAAACGGTATGAGCAGTGGCAGAGCCTTAAAAAAGTTTGAATAACGGGTGAAGGCCAGAATTGGGGATGCCTCCTCACATCAAAAAGACCCGTGCTTGCTTGGTTGCATGCAGCCGGATCTTCTGCGGTCCAAGCATGTCTGAGCTAGTGCTCGCCCATCTCTCAATCTTGCGGTGCAGCGCCGGATGATGTGACAAGCTGTGGAAGCTGCAGAAACTCAGCGCGAGGCTGGACCATCACTAAGCTCCTGGCCAACAAGCCCTTGTGATCCTGCTTTGCATCTGCCTCTGGGCACATGAGCGAACGCGAAAAACTGCGCCAAAACCTCCCCCGCAATTCAAGAATTGTAAAACCCCCCCCCCCCCAAGAAAGCAGATGCCCTGGGGCGGCCGCAGCGCTAAACGATACAAAGAACACAAACAAACCCCTGGGAGATGGCCGTGATCTCCAGTGAGCCGGGGTCTGCAGTAGCCTGCCTACGTGTGAGGCTAGCTCTGCAAATCAGGGTCCCTCTTTGGGTCCAGAAAATCAGGGCGCCGTGCTGTATATATATATATATGTATATACATATATATATATACATATATATAGAGATATAGATATGGATATAGATATAATGATATATATATATATCTACACGACCCAAAAGAGGGCCCTAATTTCGAGAACTGCCTATGAGATGCCCCGGGACACACAACGCACTCACGCCTCCTCCGCATCCTTGTCGGAGGCGTCGATCTGGGCAGCGCCGAGGCCAAGATTCAGCTTTACTTGCTTTGTTATACTATACATGCCTATATATATATATATATATATACGTATGTTGTGCATGCAAATATATAAATAGCTAAATAAATAGATAGATATATATATATATATAGTACAACATAATCATGTAAACATCATGTAGTGCAAGCATGCCAGCATCATGTTCAGGTGTGCACAAGTTTTCGGTGTGCAGCACCGACTGAGAGCTTGCGGTGATTTGCGCATGAGTGCCCCGGCTCATTGAACATGATCGCAACCAAGTCTGCTTTGCAGCGGTCAATGGGTAGTACTATTCCAGCTCAACTCCTGGCGCATCACCCTAAACCCTAAACCCTAAACCCTAAACCCTAAACCCTAAACCCTAAACCCTAAACCCTAAACCCTAAACCCTAAACCCTAAACCGCAATGGAGGTGCCACAAGCGGGAGCGCTGGCTCGGAAGCCAAGGTTCTAGCTGGACGGCACCCATGTACTCTGATGAGTAGTTGGTGGCCATTCATTCATGTAGACAGCGTTTTTAGCACAAGCAATTGCCAGAGTGTGCGGCTTTGGCAACTTGCCGGCCATCCTGAACCAAGTAGCTCTGAAACTGCCCAACTGTGTGGGGTGTGTGAATTGAGCCAAGTGAATATGGAAACTTGCAGTGCCCAGCAACGGAAAAGTCTCTCGTCTCTGGCCCTCCGCTTGTTTCTAGCATTTTTCACCTAAACCCTAAACACTTTTCTGAACACAGACTCTGGTAAGTCAGCTGGCTCGATGACAATTGCAACCCTAAACCCTAAACCCTAAACCCTAAACCCTAAACCCTGAAACCCTAAACCCTAAACCCTAAACCCTAAACCCTAAACCCTAAACCCTAAACCCTAAACCCTAAACCCTAAACCCTAAACCCTAAACCCTAAACCCTAAACCCTAACCCTAAACCCTAAACCCTAAACCCTAAACCCTAAACCCTAACCCTAAACCCCCTAAACCCGAACCCTAAACCCTGAACCCTAAACCCTAAACCCTTAAGACCCACCCCCCTTCCGCAGCACAACCCTGAAGGCCATGGTCGTGCCTTCGCACATGCGGTTCGAGGCCCGGACCTGTTGAAGCAGCACCTTCTCCTCCTAGGGTTTAGGGTTAAGGGTTAAGGGTTAAGGGTTAAGGGTTTAGGGTTTAGGGTTTAGGGCTTAGGCGGGTTCAGGGTTCAGGGTTTAGGGTTTAGGGTTTGGGCTTTAGGGCTTAGGGTTGGGGCGACTTATGGCCACACATTCAAAGACGTGGGTTGCGATGCAAAGGCAAGAGATCTGAGCATATCCAAACAGCCCTTAGCGGCTCAGCTTTGCGCGCGGGCCTGAATGAAAGCATGGGCCATTGCGCTATGGTGTGGCTTGCTTGTTGTTTACACGTTGTCTGCCTTTCTCCAGAAAGGAAGTGAAAGATGTCCTGCGCATGGTGCTGAGACATACTCACCTCTCAACAGTTCTATGCAAGGGCAGGTTGAGGACAAAGGTAGCTAGCATGGAGCCACAAACGAATTGCCAGGCCGGACCGGCTGGAGACATGCCGCATGAGGAGTGCTCGAATTGCCCAAGTGGAACGGCAATCGATTTCCCTCATTGCAGGATTTCCATATTGGTTGGCGAATGAAATCGCAGCTCAGCTGTATTTCGTGCGTGTTCTGTTTTGCACACACTAAAACAATTAGAAGATCAACTTTCTCCCGCGCTTCTGATCAAAAGCTTCCTTTTGCTTAGCTCCGATCCTTGATGACCAACCAGCTCGGGCATTTGGGAGAAGACCAGGACGAGTCTGTAAGTCCCTCATGACAGCAAATTCTCGGCCGACTACCAACATTCATCATCGATCCCGCCATGTGAAATCGGAATTGTTGCTCACAATGACCCCATACTGTGTGGGATACGCTTCCCGTTGCCCAGCACTAGCTGGAGCTCCTACTGCTTGTATGGCAAATCAAAACACATGGTGCGTTCATTCAAACAGTGGGTCGGTTCTATAGATTTTGGTCCCCCTTTTGGCTACCACAAATATTAGGGGGCCACCATATAACTATCATCGGTACCCCCAAGAAGACCCTAATTTAGAGAAGTGACCGTTTCAGCATCGTCGAGTTCAGAATTTAAGGGTGTTGAGCCGATAGCAGTCGAAAACCTGGACAGATTCCAAAGGAAGGCTCGCGATCCAACAGACCAAGTAGTAGACAGTAGCGGTATTGAGGGGAAAGCACTTCCTCCGAAGCGCGGACGGCCCGCTTCGGAACTATAAAGGACGTTCGTGTTGAGTTGAAGTAGTGGTGTCTAAGCTCCAAAACCCCCAAAATCTCTCCAATCACATATTGCAACCTACTTCTCGATCACAGAAACAGCAGTCGTCTAGGGCATCGTGCTCTCATTGTTGGCCTGCGTGATAAGCTTGTCACAACTTGTAGAAAATGAACCAGCAAAGCGGCAGTTTGTTCAGCTAGCAGCTAGAATACGGTGGGCCGGTGATTAACCAATGAAGTTAGTTCACACTTTGGACAAACGAGTTTGCATGCTAATCAGAATGAACGGACGAATCCGCGTATCGACCTTGTTCAAGGACACTTTGAAGCTTCAGACCCTGATCCAAGTAATTAGAAGAGCTCGAATTTCAGCAAGCCAGAAGCCGCGAAATACATAGTGAACTCTACACCCGAAACCCTAAACCCTAAACCGGAAAACATCTGGGCAGTTCTGTAAATAAGGGTCCCTTTTTGGGTCCAAATATAGCACGGCACCTCAAAAAGAGAGAACTACCCATGTTGACATTCGTTTACCTACTGCGGAATACGCAGTGAACCCCTAGCTCTAAGTCCTAAACCAGAAAACATGTTTACGACAATAGGTGACCCCTAGTAAAGACCCCCAAGTAGTAGGACTCCCTTACAATAAGGACCCCAATAAGGTGCCCCTAATTTCGGAAACTCCCGAATCCTAAGCCGGAAAACGTCTTGACATTGGTTTACCTACTGCGGAATACGAAGTGAATCCTGAGCCCTAAATCCTACACCCCTAAACCCTAAACCCTAAAACCTTAAACGCTAAACCCTAAACCCGAACCCCTAAACCCCCAAACCCCAAACCCAAAACCCCCAAACCCTATACCCTAAACCCTAAACCCTAAACCCCAAAACCCAAACCCCAAACCCCAAACCCCAAACCCCAAACCCCAAACCCTAAACCCTAAACCCTAAACCCTACCTACTTCTGTTTCTTGCACCCTCATAGCTGACCAGTTCGACCTCGGACTACACACTCCGTTGGTGAAAGCTGAGGAGTTACCGAGGGGAGCTGTGTGAAAGGCTGTGAAGTTGGGGTTTAGGGTTTAGGGTTTAGGGTTTAGGGATTAGGGTGTAGGGTTTGGGGTTTGGGGTTTGGGGTTTGGGGTTTGGGGTTTGGGTTTTAGGGTTGGGCAACTGAAGAGGGAATGCTGTGTACAAACTTCAGAGCCCAAGTTTACGATATTCCAAGATGTCACACCTTCCCCTGACCTCCTGCATCCCACCCCGAACCAGGAGGTAACCAAAATAAAGGGTTTAGGGCTTGGGGCTTGGGGTTAGGGTTTGGGGGTTTCTGCTTTGGGGCTTCAGTTTATACAGGGTTTGGGGTCTAGGGGTCACTTCTGATGCGCTATGTACCAGGACTGCATGAACATTGACATCACAGTGGCCCTTGTTCACATGTCACATCTGCAACACCCCTTCACACAGGAGGAGAAGCTTCCCAAAAGCCATGCCTTTGCTTCACACTCGGTTGGTGTTCAAGCGGAAGCACGCATGCCATTGCAAGCATGCCGTTGCTCACTTATTGGGTTCTTAAGGGAGGGAGGTTCAAGAAGGGGCATGTCACCCAACGTTCCCTAGCACTCCCCACTAGTCCCTAAGTAAGGCTCCCTGAGCTTCCCTAATCTTCTCGAATCTTTTCTAGGTACCTACCCCCCATGAACCCCCCTCCCTTAAGGACCCTATAATAAACATCGAAATTGGGATGTTCCCCCTTAAACTACCAGTCCTTAATAGGGATTACAATTGGGGTGGGGGGGGGGGGTGTACTATAATCCCTACCCTAAACCCTAAACCCTAAACCCTAAACCCTAAACCCTAAACCCTAAACCCTGCTAGTGAAAGGGGGGAACATTCCAACATCTACATGTTCAAGGCGCTCTTGAACCAGCTCCGGACCTGCTCGAGTACTGGCCAAGGTGAAGATGAAGCGCGGCAAGAGGCACGTGCGCCTTTGTAAGCGTGGCTGACCTGGCGGTTTAGGGTTTAGGGTTTAAGGTTAAGGGTTTAGGGTGGGTTTCGGGTTTAGGGTTTGGGGTTTGGGGTTTAGGGTTTAGGGTTTAGGGTTTGGGGTTTAGGGTTTGGGGTTTGGGGTTCAGGGTTTAGGGCTTAGGGCACCTGCGGGTCGCAGTCAGCACAACGCAGTGCGCGCCACTGAACGTTGTACCGACGACATCTCATCCGCAATATGCACTCACTACTTTCGGGCCTCATGGCCATGTGCATTCCAGCATCGCTATTCCGGTAGTGCAGTAAACGAGGGCCCCCGGCAATATCTTAACAATCTCCTTCTTACTATTCGGGTTTAAGAAGGACCCCCCCAAAACAAAAGGGGAATAAGGGTAATTAAATTTTGGGGGACACAAGAGTACCCTGGGAAAAATAGGCACCCTTTTTGGTTTGAAGGGGCTTTTGGGAACCTCAACCCCGCAAAAAAGGAATAAGACCTACTCTGGTTCCTAAACCCTCTCGCTCTCTCACAGGCGCTCAGTCAATGTTAGGAACCCTAAACCCTAAATCCTAAACCTTTCAAAAAAACAGTGCCTGGGAAATGGAATGGCGCAGCGTCGAGAGACTTGGCCGGCGAAGCCCCGCGGCCTTGAAGCGTGAAAGCAAGAATGCCAGACCTGGGCCCAGTTGGGACATTTCCCAAAATAGGGTTCAGGGCTTAGGGTTTAGGCCTTTTATACCCCCTAATAGAATAGAATCCCCGTTAACGGGACCCCCAAAAAAGGGTACCCCCATTGTAGGAAAATTCCAGTTGTCATACCTTGCGCTACCTGTGGGGCCCTGTGGGCGTTTGGGGTTCACTAGTGTTTCGGGTTTAGGGCTTCGGGCTTAGGGTGGCCTGGTAGCGGAGAAATGAGAGGTAAACTTTTCGATCCTCCAAACGCCTCGGGCAACAGCATGGGAACCCTAAACCCTAAACCCTAAACCCTAAACCCTAAACCCTAAACCCACTGGGACACTGGGAGCCCGGCTCTGCACTGCTCGGCGGGACTGCTCCAGGGTTTGCCGGTCCAAATCGCCATCGCAGGCAAAAGTCTCGAAGATGTTGCCGTCCTGACCCAGGGGTTTAGGGTTTAGGGTTTAGGGTTTAGGGTTTAGGGTTTAGGGTTTAGGGTTTAGGGTTTAGGGTTTAAGCTCAGCTTGTGGCCTTCTACTTGGAAGTTCATGGTGCTTAGTAACCAAGTATAACTGCACTTATAACCCACTTTTAAGTCCCTTAAGTGGCCTAATATGGCTACAAGTGATAAGTACAGCTATAATTGGTGAAACCCTACACCCTAAACCCTAAACCCTAAACCCTAAACCCTAAACCCTAAACCCTAAACCCTAAACCCTAAACCCTGTACAGTTATCATTGGTGAAAAAGTACCGTGAACCTCCAAGTAAGGATTTTAGTTATTGCGGAAACTCAGGCTTCGTGTCCGAAGGACCGTTGGCGGCCTCCAGCCGACGCGAAAATGGGGGTCACGCAGCAACAGAACCTCCAAAAAACAGTATCGGGGTTCAGGGTTTAGGATTTAGGGTTTAGGGTAGTGAGATAAAACCAAAGCTACGAAAGACTAAAGCTGGGGCCCATGGAATCGGTGAGGCTTTCCACAGGACGCTCCAGCAGAAACTCCTACGTTTCGTACTCGAAAGTCGCAGCAGCAGTAACAAGTAGTAGTATTACTATAAGAAAAATCTAAACCCTAAACCCTAAACCCTAAACCCTAAACCCTAAACCCTAAACCCTCAACCCTCAACCCTCAACCCTCAACCCTCAACCCTCAACCCTCAACCCTCAACCCTCAACCCTCAACCCTCAACCCTCAACCCTCAACCCTAAACCCTAAACCCTAAACCCTAAACCCTAAACCCTAAACCCTAAACCCTAAACCCTAAACCCTAAACCCTAAACCCTAGCAGGCAATCCTGCACGATCGCCGCAAGCTCCCCGAAGGTGTTGGACATCTCCCGCCAGCTGCTGTGGAGCTGTCGATGTGCGCGAGTCATACTGCCTTGGTAGACAAGTAACCATCTTACAATAAGGGTGCCCTAAACCCTAAACCCTAAACCCTAAACCCTAAACCCTAAATTGGTTACTTCACAAGGGAACCCGGAGCCCTAAAAAGGGAAAAAGGGTACCACCCGGACGACCAGGCTGCGCATGCTGTGGGCAAAGGCTCGGAGAAGCTCCTCAGAGCCCAGCTTGCAAGACTGGTAGCCCTCTAGCGCGGCCAGAGATCCCTGGTGTCCTCAGCTGGGGGTTGCCGAAAAGAGGGCTACCCTTTTGGGGGGTCCCTTTTAAGGGGGTTCTATTCTCTTTGGGGTATAAAAGTGGTTACCCCTATTTTGGGAACTACCCAGCTGAATTTGCGCACACTTAAAGGGTCAGAAGTCAGCTGCCTGTTGTGGGGAAATCGGTCTGCTTTGTCCGGCCAAGGAACGGTCCAGCTCCTCGGATGCTGCATCCAGATATCGATCGAAGCTCTTTCCTTAGCTGTCCAGTAACCTGGGGGGAATTAAAGCTTAACCTCTACAATTTTATTGGGACTAGAATACCCTAAAGGGCACCTACTCTACTACTAAGTTTAGAATACCCCAAAAAGGTTAAAGGTTACCTCCTCTACTACTCTAAGTTTAGAATACCCCAAAAAGGTTAAAGGTTACCTCCTCTACTACTCTAAGTTTAGAATGCCCCAAAAAGGTTAAAGGTTACCTCCTCTACTACGAAGTTTCGGATCTGCCACCAGAAGCGGTCCAGGGATCCCAGGGCTCGGGCGGTACTTTCAGGCTTTTCCTTAGTTGTCCAGTAACCTGGGGGAGTTCAAGGGCAACCTCTGAAAATTTTATAGGGATTCGAATACCCCCAAAAAAGGTTTAACCTTGGTTACCTACTCTCACCTCTGGGATTTTAACAGGGATTAGAATGCCCACCAAAAAGGCTTAAGGCTACCCACTCTACTACTAAGTTTCAGGTGCACGTAGTCCGGCGGACCGGTGGTGGTAGTTGCCCAACAGTCGCAGCTGCCGCCGCACTTGGCCCTGCAAGCGGCTCACCTCTTAGGGGGTACAAGGAGGGACCCCCAGAAGGGACCCTTCATGTTCTTCCCCTATATAACCCCTTTTCTATACCTTATATAGGCCCTAGATGCCAAAGTCGCCCCTAAATAACCCCCAGATAACCCGTAAGGTTATCAGGGTCCCTCCTTTAGTCCCTTGAACCCTGAACCCTTTTGCATCAGGACTTGTGCACTAAACCCAAAACCCAAAACGCAAAACCTAAAACCCCAAAACCCCAAAACCCCAAAACCCGCAAACCCCAAAACCCCTAAACCCCCAAACCGGTAAACCCTAAACCCCTAAACCCCCACACCCCCCAAACCCCTAAACCCCTAAACCCCTAAACCCTAAACCCTAAATCCTAAAACCCAAACGGACCTCATGACCCATCTGCTTCCAAATCCTCTCCGCCCTCTCAGCATGGCTTCCAGAGGCCGAGGCATGGAGCTGGGTCCGGAGAAGTTGGAGTTGGCTGTGGAACCTTGCAGGCTGTTCAGGGCTTCGGGTTTATAGGGTTTATAGGGTTTGTAGGGTTTATAGGGTTTGTAGGGTTTATAGGGTTTATAGGGTTTATAGGGTTTATAGGGTTTATAGGGTTTATAGGGTTTAGGGCGGACTAGAGCATGCCATGCTACTTACCGTGCTGTTCTGGAGCGCGAAACATGATGACCCAGAGGGTCCATTTTGTAGTACTATGCTGGAATCAGGTATCCAAAAACCATACTAAATAGGGTTTTTGGGTACCTAATTCCACAAGAAATAGTACGACAGATGGACCCTCTGGGTGCTGCACATCTGCAACAACCCAGAGAGCCCAATACCCCTTAATTAAAGAATATGCCATAAATTATAAAGGGATCCTTGGTCTGTTTTAAGGAATACTCCTTATTTAACGGGTATTGGGCTCTTTTGGAAGATTTGTCCAACCTCTCTGCTTGTGCCTCTCGCGCTTCAGGCGCAGTGGAATTGAGGCTCTCGGCGTTGGCGAGGAACTGCTTCAACGCCTTGCTCAGGGTTTAGGGTGTGGAGTTTGGGGTTTAGGGTTTCGGGTGGGTTTCGCGGCCACGGACTTTCTGATTCTATTTTCTTGCTTCGGGGTCTAAGGTTCTGGTTGTGGGTTTCAGGTCTCTTTTGCCCACCCGCGACGCATTCGCCTATGTGCAACAAGGTCTAGGGCTTGGGCTTCCCAACCTTTGTTGTGCTGTTTAGGTTTAGGGTTTAGGACTTGGGGTTTAGGGTTTAGTAGGATTTGGGGTTTAGGATTTAGGGTTTCGGGTTTCCCAAAAAAGCCTTGTTGGCGGTGAGCTTCGGGACCTTGTCCACAATGGCCGTCGCGTAGCCCGACAGCTCCCTCAGCGCAGACTCGGATTGATGGGCCACCTGAAACATCCCTACTCAACAATGCATGTTAGGGTTTAGGTTTCGGGTTCAGGGTTTAGGGTTTAGGGTTTCGGGTTTACGATTTAGGGTTTGGGGTTTGGGGTTTAGGGTCTAGGGTTAGGGGTTAGGGGTTTAAGGTTTAGTTAGGGTTTAGGGTTTAGGGTTTAGGGTCTAGGGTCTAGGGTCTAGGGTCTAGGGTGTAGGGTGTAGGGTGTAGGGTGTAGGGTTTAGGGTTTAGGGTTTAGGGTTTAGGGTTTAGGGTTTAGGGTTTAGGGTTTAGGGTTTAGGGTTTAGGGTTTTTTTTTGCCACCCGACTAGCCACAGCAATGCGGGGTGCAAGGTCGGAAGTTAAAGGAGAACCGGTACTCCCAGGGTTTAGGGTTTAGGGTTTAGGGTTTAGGGTTTAGGGTTAACCTCCAGTGTGCCTCCAGAAGGTTCTTCGGCTGCAAGAGTTGGCGAGTGACCTCCGCAGAGTAGTCGATCTTGGCGTCCAGGTACTTCATGTCCTTATCTTCTTCGGGCACTTGTAGTTCTAGGTTTAGGGTTTAGGGTTTAGGGTTTAGGGTTTAGGGGTTCCTGTATATTGGCCCTTAAAAACGGGGGCCCCTTCTATACCCCTTTATATGCCCTATACAACGCAAGGGCCCATACTTCAGAACCCGTCAAAGAAGGTAAGGGACCCTATTCAGGGCCCATAGAACGACCCCTAGATCCCAGACCGAAGAGTAACCTAGGAATAAGGGTGCCCTTTTTGGTTGTAAGGGGGTTTGAAGGGAAGTCATACCCTTAAAAAGGAACAAGGGCCTACTCTGGGTCGTAGTTCCACTGAGTTGTGCTTTAAATCCTTTGAAAACTACGTATGAATAGTTCCCCTTGTAAGGAAAGAAAGGAAAATAACAAAAACATCCCCAAGCACAACCCAGTATGCTTCTCGGTTTAGGGTTTAGGGTTTAGGGTTTAGGGCTGATGGTTTAGTGTTTAGGGTTTAGGGTAAAATAGAAACTCCTGGCTCAGTGAGCGTCTGCATGGCCTGCCTCCACAGACCATTCCACCAGCTTCTTCCTGAGATTCCCGCAATGACAGTGCCAAACCCGCCGGATCTTAGGTGACCTCTGACACAACCGTGAGCTTCACAGACTCAACGGCTTCGACTCTCACAGCTAGCGCACGCTAGCAGGCAAGGCTCCGGTAATTGGTCAAAAGGGTTTAGGGTAGTAGGGAGCAAATTTCAAGCTCATTGTCAGGTCCCAGCCGCATGTTGTCATTGGAGATTTTGGTGGCTTTCTCGAGGTTGCGAATGATGGTTCGGTCTCCCCGTATCACGGCATCGCGCACGCAATGGATGTCACAAAAGAGGCGGGACAGGCCCACTTGGAAGGGGTTGCAGGCTTGCTCATCCTCCTCCTCATATTTCAGCGCCATGCCCATGTTCGCCATGCCGAAGGCAAAGTCGGGAACCATGAAGGAGATCGCCAGAATCTGCTCGCACATCACATCTGGCTCAATCTGGGTGCCAAGACCCAAGGGTGCGATGGCAATGTCCGGCTGGAAGGCGCAAAGAGACCTCATGCTTGCACTGTAATACGGTTTGCATCATTGTGATCCATAATGTGACATGAAACTCTTGCAGGATCATTCAGAACGACGTGTTTGAGAATGACTTGCTCATGGACTTGTAGCTATATCCCTAAACCCTAAACCCTAAACCCTAAACCCTAAACCCTAAACCCTAAATGCTACAAGACGTTCAGTGCCGTGGCGGAAGGATACTTAGCAGCAGCAGAGTGGCTGCAGTCCGGTCTCCAACGGCAGCCTGACCAAGTCAGCAATCTCCTGGCTCCACTTCGGGTTTAGGGCTTTTAGGATTTGGGGTTCAGGGTTTAGGGCTTAGGGTTTAGGATTTGGGGTTTAGGGTTTAGGGTTTAGGGTTTAGGGCTAGGGGGTAGGTACCTAGAAAAACCTGACGGAAGCTTAGGGAGCCTGAGGGACTAGAGGGGAGCATTCGGGAACATTGGGTTACGTACCCCCCTTGAACCCTCCTCGGTAATTTTTTTTTAAAAAAAATTACCCTTAAGACCCCATAAGCGGTGGTTGGACACTTGAGTTGAGATGTGTTTATGGACCACGCGGCTGCAAAAAATGCTTACCGGTTGTCCCTGTCTTCTACTACGCTACGTTATTACAGTCTATATTCGAATAGCTACATATAGGTATAAACTCGGGTATATTATAAATAACAAAGAACCTTATGATGATCAAGGAATCTCCTGGCTGAACTCCAAGGCTTCCACCCCGCTTTCTCGGCCCTCAGAGCCTTCGAAACACTCGTTCCAGTCGCCGTAGAGCCTATAGGGTTTAGGGTTTAGGGTTTCGGGTATAGGGTTTAGGGTTCAGGGTTTATACTGAACTTGGAACTATGGCAAAAACTATATGTTTGGCTGTTTCTTAGGAATTACGGTACCCAACAAAATCAAAAAATATTCCCAAGAATCCCTAAGGAGCATGTTGGGAGGAGCCTCCTTACCACTTCCGCCCCCGAGCTCGCCAAATATGCCGGTGGCCCCTTCAAGGGAGTTTTGGGGTTTGTAGGGTTCAGGGTTTAGAGTTCAGGGTTTAGGGTTTAGGGTTTAGGGTGTAGGGTTTAGGGAGCCGGAAGCTGTACAACTTAATCGACACGACCAAAAGTCCAAGCTCTAACGTCTTTAGTGTTGGCAATGCCGGCCGGGCTGTGACTCTTCTGTGTATCCCCAGGATTGAAGATCCACAGCAAACTTCGGATCTAGGCTCGATTGTACGGGCCTTGATAGTTCGAATAGGCTTTCGGGGGATTAGTCACTATACATATATAGGGACCACAAGGGGGGTATTCGTCATTCCGACCCCTATAAACTATAGTAGGATACTATTGGGTAGTAAGGATTAAGTAGTGGGGTGTAAGAAGCTAGATTTTAGCCGCCGTAGCTGCGGCCTGCGGCCACCGCGCAGGGGTGGTAGTCAACCAATCTTTGTCCCGTGGCTGGATCGGCCACTAGCGGGCTGTCCTCACACAGGGCTCCTGGGTTTCTGGAGTTCAGGGATGCAACTGAAGGTCCTTCAGGGGTCCATATAACCCTAAACCTCAAGCCCGAGGCCTTTTTTGCACCCGGACTCCCGTGGGTGCTGCCAGAAACTGTCCAAGCACATGCTCCCAGTGCTGCTGAGCCTCGGGCTTAAACCTTAGACCCTAAAGGCTAAAGCCTAAACTCTAAAGCCTAAACCCTAAACCGTAAACCCAAAACCCTAAACCAGACCACCCTCAACCCAAGGGCTCTGAAACAACTCAACCCCCGAGTCGACGGGCGAAACAGGCGGGCTCCTCGGTCACGTCATTTTCGACCGTCTCGGAGAGCTTTTTCCAAAGGTCCTGCCCAAGCTTTCGGGGCCACGGTTTCGGGTTTAGGGGTTTAGGGGTTTAGGGGTTTAGGGGTTTAGGGGTTTAGGGGTTTAGGGGTTTAGGGGTTTAGGGGTTTAGGGGTTTAGGGGTTTAGGGGTTTAGGGGTTTAGGGGTTTAGGGGCTTAGGGGTTTAGGGGTTTAGGGGTTTAGGGGTTTAGGGGTTTAGGGGTTTAGGGGTTTAGGGGTTTAGGGGTTTAGGGGTTTAGGGGTTTAGGGTCATATCTGTTGATCGGTTAAGAAACTCAAGATGCCTGAGTGCGAAGAGGGCGAAAGTTGTTCCTAAGCATACACGTAAATGCGCCAAAGTAGGGTCGCGTCTGAGAGCCAAGATTTACAAGTCTACTTCCTGATATAGTATAGCTACGACACCTGATCGGAATGGCCCACCAATTGCAAAACCTTTTCTGTGATTTACTCCCCCCCCCCTTCCCCTGCACAAGAGTCGCTAGCATGCTGAAATTGACAGTGTCTGTGCGCTCTCGTGCACCTACGGCTACTCCTGTCCTCCTTGCTCCTGCCGATAGTTTTGGGCATTGGAGCTGCCGTTTTAGGGTTAGGGGTTAAGGGTTTAGCTCCTCCGTAGAACTGAGTAGATTTCCAGACTCAGGTTGTCAAGGTTCCTCCCCCACTTCATAGGCCCTGGCGGGACCCGAACACCCTCTCGCTACCCTAAACCCTAAACCCTAAACCCTAAACCCTCAACCCTCAACCCTCAACCCTCAACCCTAAACCCTAAACCCCTCAAAACCCTCAAAACCCTCAAAACCCTCAAAACCCTCAAAACCCTAAACTCCATGCACCCACAAAGACTCTGTTTCAACCCCAAACCCTAAAAAACCCTAGCCATATAACTCACAAGCTGGAAAGCTGGTCCTGGTAGTCCAAGCATTCCGTGGCGTAAGTGGGCTGTTTGGCATCAAAGTCCTGGAGCAAGCAGGTCGTAAAACCCTAGCCCCTGAACTCTAAACTGGTGCGTATACCTGATGTTCGGCTGTTTAGACTTGTGGGGCGTGAGGTAGCCCTGAAACAAAAAAGGGTTTAGGGTTTCGGGTTAGGGTGTAGGGTTTAGGGTGTAGGGTTTAGGGTTAGGGAAGGATTTTGGAATTTGGCTGGCAGAGTATTCAAAAAAAGTCTTCAGAAGGGACCTGGCAAGAAGCGAGTTGAAAGGCCCGCGGCACCAACAATGCTGTATGGGCTGGGCTTTAAACAGGGCGCTTGGGCGGTAGGGGCATTTCCCAAAAATGGGGTGTCCCTTATGTACCCTCGGAATTTATAGAATCCTTGTTTTACTTGACTCCCCAAGAAAAGGAACCTCTGTTTTGGGAACCCCCAGTGACGCCTAGACACAGACAGAGGGCCATAAGGTTTATGTAGACTTCGGGCCCTTAACCCCAAACCCTAGAACTGTCTTTAAACCCTAAACCCTCTTCGAAAAAGAGACTTCCGTCGCGCATCGTTTCTCTCCAGACAGGCTCTTGGACGCCCTCGCTTTGTCAGCTGCAAAAGGGGTCGTCGTCTTGATTGGATTCTTTGGGATCTGCGCCTAAACCCTAAGCCCAAAACCCTAAACTCTAAACTCTAAACCCTAAGCCCAAAACCCTAAACCCATGCAAAGGGCCCCCCAAGAATTCACAAGAACGCCTTACTAGAGAGTTTCCCAAACTCGGATACCTATTTTGGGGGGCAGCTTCTGTCAGGGATTCTGCAATTCTGTTATATCAGGGGTTACCTTATGCTGGGAACTCATACACCCGAAGCCCTCCCCCAGCAATACTTCTCCTGGAGCTTCGGTGCGCCAGGAGGTTTGGGCCACGTTGGTGGCTTGTGGGTCCTGCGGGCTCGCGGAGCTTTGTTTGTGCACCAAACGACACAGCGGTGCGCTAGGGTTGAGCACGTCGGCGCCGGAATGCGGGCTCCAGAATGGCATTCCACGCTAGGGTTTAGGGTTTAGGGTTTAGGGTTTGGGGTTTGGGGTTTGGGGTTTAGGGATATTCCCTTTTACCATTGTACTTGCATGCTCCAGCTTCATAGACGCATGCCCCTGCCTCGTGCGCTCGGGCGGGCGGGCCGCCCAGGAGCCTTTGCTGGTCATGTCGGGCACTCCCTTTGCTTGGAACTGGCCGTCGAAGTCGGTGAGGTTGTGGACCTGGCAGCTCTGCGTTGCTCCCTTCTCTACACTTCCAGATTTCCAGGGAATGAGTTCAAGGTTCCGCTTCTTGGTCATGAAACAAGGTAACCCCTATATAACCCTAAACCGTATACCCTAGACCCTGAGCCTAGACCCTAAACCCTAAACCCTAAACCCTAAACCCTAAACCCCAAACCCTAAACCCTAAACCCAAAACCCTCGCTTGTTTCATGCCACCCCTGGGCTTACCTCCAAGTGTGCCACCATCAGATCAGCAGGAACCGCTGCTCCTCCACCGACAGGGGTAGAGCACTGACCGCCCACGCACCATGCTCCATCCTCCTTTTCAGGGTAGCAGAGGGTTTAGGGTTTAGGGTTTAGGGTTTAGGGTTTAGGGTTTAGGGTTAGCCGGTCAAAACAAGTGACAAGGCATCGACGTAGAAAGGGGCTATGTTTTCCATACCTTTAAGGCGGAAGCAGACGACTCGGATGCCCAAAGTTCTGGTGTCCTTAAGAGCTTCAACAGGCCTGCGGCTTGGCAGCGGAACTGCATGTTTTATGGCCTCCACGTGGGTAGTTCTCTAAATTAGGGTCCCTGTTTGGGTACCCACTAAACTCAAAAGGGACCCGAATGTAGAGGACTACTTGCAGGTTCATGGTACTTCTTGACCAAGTTTAACTGTACTTCTAGTCCACTTATAAGCCCCTTAAGTGCCCTAATATGGTTATAAGTACCGTCTTTAGTACAGCTATAATTGGTTAATCAGTACCATGAACCTTCAAGTACCCACATGCAGGGAATAAGCACGTCCTGCATGTCCAACATGTCCCCGGTCTCATAGTTCTCATATCGCAGTCGGCCAGCTCTCTTGTCCTTGATTTAGGGTTTAGGGTTTAGGGTTGCACCTCTTTAGTAGTTCGAACCTGAAGGAGTCTACAGTTACAACTCACAACCAAGTGAAGTCTGGACGAGAAGTCAGAGCAATCTCTTAGGAAGGGCGGCCACCCATAGATGCCCCACTCAGCAAAGCATGCCAAGTGTCAACCGGACAATAGGTGCCCTCTTGACTATCGTACAGCTTTCGGATCGTGCGCGAAGGCTCCACGACAACTGGGGCACCCCCTGCCTGCGAGCAGCTACCACAGAAGCAGGAAAATCAAACGTCTGGTCAGGCGCCTGTGGCTTCAGTTCTACCCTGTTCCAATGCGCCCACTCGCACTCTCACTCTTACTTACTCTCACTCTCACACTCACTCTCCCTGAGGCTCAAAAAACAGGGGATGTGTTCATGGTTGGATGCACCCACACAGTCAGGCTTAGAGCCAAGAGCATCGGCTTCCACCGGGTAGCCATTACTGGAACACTGTGTGACAGGTTTGCGCTTAAGGAAAGCAAGTTCCCACAATACGGGTACACATGTAGGTACACACACATGCACTGTCACATACATATATAAGGTCTGGGTCAGGGATGTTGGATTCTAAGACCTAAGCCCTAAGCCCTAAGCCCTGAGCCCTAAACCCGACACCCTAGGATTCTGAAGTGCATGGCCGTATGCTTCGGGACAGCGCTTGGGACTCTGTTGATGGCTGACTTAGCGAAACTCAGACCTTGCTAATCTTGGCCTGCGAAAACCTTATGTTCAGGGCCCCCTTCTATGACAGAAGCAAATGGAATTCTCCCGACATGGAGATTTCCGAAATTCCGGGTGCCTTGTGGGGGGGTCCGCATGAAAAGGGGATCCTACTATTTGGGGATGTATCTCGGGGATCCCTTATTGTCGTACGTGTCACCCTAAACCCTACTAAACCCTACTAAACCCTACTAAACCCTACTAAACCCTACTAAACCCTACTAAACCCTACTAAACCCCAAACCCCAAACCCCAAACCCTAAACCCTAAACCCTAAACCCTAAACCCTAAACCCTAAACCCTAAACCCTAAACCCTAAACCCTAAACCCTAAACCCTAGCCCTAAACCCTAAACCCTAAACCCTAAACCCTAAACCCTAAACCCTAAACCCTAAACCCTAAACCGCCAAAGCGAGCAGTGCTGGGGGGGGCCTTGGAGCAGGTGTACTTCGAGCGCGCCCAGCGCCCTCCCTCCGAGAACTCGAAGTGGAAGCCCGAGAGCAGCCCATTCTTGCCACAATCCACCTTGATCATCCTCCAGGTCTGACTTGAGGGGTTTAGGGTTTAGGGTTTAGGGTTTAGGGTCTAGGGGTTTAGGGGAAGGATATGCTTGACCTTACAAGGCCAAAATCGCGTGAGGTTGCTTGAGTGACATGTTGGGATGTTCCCCCTTATACTGGAAGTCCTTAATAGGGCTTTTTTGGTACCCCCTCTTATCATCCCTATTAAGGACTGTTCGTAGACGGGTTGAACATCCTTTCGGTCAATCTGATGTCCTCATGGCTTGGATCCACTGGGGGCGCTCGGGCGCGAAGGCTGTGACTTCCACCTGCGCAGTGAAGTATTCCTTCGTAGCCGAGTATAACCATATTGTAATAAGGTTTAGGATTCAGGGTTTAGGGTTTAGGGTTTAAGGTTTAGGGTTTAGGGCTTTATAGGGTACCTGGGTAGCCCAGTAACCATATCGTAATATAAGGGCGCCCTTTGTTGGTTGGTTACTTTATAAGGGAACCCCAGAACCGCCCAGAAAAAGGGTAAAGGGTACCACTGGGCTGCCAAGATTCGAAGCTGGCACCGAGACCTGCAATTCGGCTGCACTCGTACATGAAGGCCTTGCTTGCCTGGGTTGGCCTTTGAACATCCAGACAAATGTTTATATATATATATAGGGTCCCTTATATACCCAAATAAGGAAAATTCAAAATGTCCCAAAATCCAAGCTAGTTGCATGTTGCAACTTGAAGCCCGTCAAGGCTGCACCATCTTCGCAAGTCACAGGGGAGTCGGCCAGCATCGTGTTCCAGTTGGGCCAAAGGCTATCCGAACCATAGGTGATCCCACTCGCCACGAAGCTTCCGAAGAGGATCACCGGCGCGAACTGGCAGTTGGACACGCTGTTCGTCTCGCCCCCGAAGATTTGCCCAAAAGCCAAGCTTGACAACGCGCCGTGCTTGCCGCAGTAGGAGAAGTGGGCTCCGTGGAAGTCTGACGAGGCGCTGCGGTCTGCTAGCTGATGCATGCTCCACATCAAGTATGGAATGGCCATGGGCGAGATGAGCTGATCGGGCTCGTCTGGCACGCAACTGTGGTTGCTCAGAGTGCCTGGGGGAGTTTAGGAACACAGACAGACCCTCTGTTCGACCCCCAAAGAGTAGGATCCCCTTGTAAATACCGACCCCAAGAAGGGTACCCCCCTAATCTCGGAAACCCCGGCCTGGCATCTCTTCAGAAGCTGGCTGAGCAACCTGGAGGCAGTATCCCGTGGGCACCCCACCGTGCAAGAGATGGAAGAGCCGGTCCTCGGGATCTGCGGAACCAGCGACGGCTGCAGTAACGCTCTCCGGACATCCGCTGGCACTGCTGGTGAGCTGGATCGTGCCGTTCGTGCTGTCCTTGGTAGCCCAGTAACCATATCACGATAAGGGCACCCTTTTTTGGGTTGGGAATTTTATAAGGGAACCCATAACCAAAAAAAGGGTAAGGGGTACCACCGGGCTACCGCTAGCCCTAAACCCTAAACCCTAAACCCTAAACCCTAAACCCTAAACCCTAAACCCTAAGCCCTGGGTACCACTGGGCTACCAAGTGGCTAAGCAGAACGTCTTGGGAGCCGCGGAGTGGTCGATGGAGCCGAGTTCCGTAAAAACTCGGAGCGCCATCCTGTTGAAGAAGTAGAGCTCCTCTTGGCTTAGGGTTTAGGGTTTAGGGTTTAGGGTTTAGGGTTTAGGGTTTAGGGTTTAGGGTTTAGGGTTCAGGGTTTAGGGATTAGGGTTTAGGGTTTAGGGCTTTAGGGCTTTATAGGGTACCACTGGGCTACCAGGTCCTGCAGGCCCTTCTTTGCAAAGCTGCCGTAGCCGGATTTCGTCACCTGCACGCAAGCCTCACAGCTGAATCCCTGGAGGCCCGGGAGCTGGTTGCTGTTGTACCAGTTGCCTGGGATGGGCCCAAAAAACCATCTGAAAATACTTCCTAAATACGATCCTCTTTCGCCCAATAGGGGAAAATTTGAAGTATCCTTAGATACACTAGATATGATCCCAAAAAAAACATATATCTCAAGGGCCTGGCTAGCTGCCGTTCACGCAGCTCAGCTTCTCCCTGGCCGTCCGCTGCGCTTGCCGGAAGCCGACGTAACTCTCCTTCCAGCATGACACGCTCAGCTGGGATCCGTGGTCGAAGGTGACGGGCAGGGGACGCTTCTTCCAGGGATGCGACTCTGGATCGCGGTAGCTCGGCCTCAGACAGGTCTCCACCCCCACCCCGCCCAAGAGCAGCAGCGTGTCGCATTGCTGGTGCAAGTGGATGTAGCGGAAGGAAGTGGGGGATCTGATGGCTGTGCTTGCAACAGGCCCCTCAACCACCTTGCTCGACAACAGCGACGTCGTGGCAGTCCCGCCTGGGCTCTGAATCTCAACTTGCAGCTTGCTCAAAAAGAGCTGTGCAGCGGGCAGCTTGTGACATCGGGCTGTGAGGGTTATGGTCCCCTCGGCATCGGAATCCGTACCGTCGCCATTGTGAGCGTAGCACTTCTCATCTTGGATCCAAGTCCTTTGGCACTGGTTGCCGAGAGAACCCGAACACCAGCAGCCAAGCAATCCATAGTCACTCGGACAGGTGGCTTCGGCGTATCGACTTGTGCTGGCGCTAACCTACACTGATTCTCCCTTTTAGAACCTTAATAAAACCATCTGTTTAATATCCTGTTAGGTCTTATACAAACAAAAAATTCCCAAGGGGGATATAGTAACAGCAACAGCACCGCTGCTAACCGACAAGAAGTCATCTTCCCGCACTGCCGGCGGAGAGATCGCCATGCAGAGCGCCTGGGCGTAGCCGCCCTGGGCTCGGCAGCTGTTGCCGTCTTGATGGATCCTAGGTCAGGGTTGGGAGAATATTAAAGGTTTAGGGTTTAGGGTTTAGGGTTTAGGGTCGAATTGTTTTATTCCTTATAGGGCTTAAGTATCCTTAAAAATGAAAAATGGTACCCAACTATGACAAAGGATCCCGATGCAGTAGTGATAGGTACCCTTGTCCAAGATGCCGTCTGGAACGCAGCTGCAAGCCTTAGTAGCTGACTTAATAAGCCCCCCAAAAAATGTACACTTTCAGTTCTATAGGAGATTACAGTCTCCCAAGAAGTGCAAAGTGTGCTCACTCAGCTACTAAGAAGCTAGCAGCCGCTCCCCCGCCGGGCAGGTCGCCGAGACCTCTGCGGGAAGGGTGCGGCGCCGGCGCCTGGAGCGCCGGCGCCGGGCGATGAAGTCCGTGTCCACAAGGTCCACAAAGGGCCCCGCGGGCTCTGCGGCGCGGGCGCCTGGGAAGTTCAGGAAGGAGAAGCTCGCTTGTGAGCTCGTCTTGACCTCGACGCGCGTCGCGTACTGGAGGGTCATGCAGCGAGCTCGGGCGGTCAACTTGCTGTTACTCTCCCGCAGGTCGCCCCGCACCTGCTCAGAAGCACCCTAGTAATGATAAATTTTCAGCGAAGGTTTAGAAGTCCGAGCTGCTACCGGACCACCACCATACGAGCGCGGTACAAAAAAGACTCGAGATCAGAAGCCCCGAAGTCCCCAACTAAGCCTGTACAATGTACAAAACGGTGCCTGGCAAAGCCACCCTTGGTCGTCCTGGAGCATCTCGGCACCAGTACAGCGTCCACGATCGCTGGCGTAGCCTTGAATCCATGATGGAACTCCCTCGCCCTTCACCTTTAAACCTTAAACCCTCAACCCTAAACCCTAGACCCAAACGAAGTGTCATGTGAAGTTCGAAGGTGAAGGTCGAAGGTAGTCTCGGACATACCACCACCACCACCTAATAGTATCCCTAAACCCTAAACCCTAAACCCTAAACCCTAAACCCTGAAACCCTAAAACCCTAAACCCTAAACCCTAAACCCTAAACCCTAAAACCCTAAACCCTAAACCCTAAACCTACCAATAGACCCTCTGGGTAAAGGGGGCCGCTGGCAGCCTGGCTGCAGTTGCAGGATGTCAGGTAGCTTCCACTGGGGCAGCGGGCAGCTGGTTCCGGTCCTGGTCTTACTATAGCGGCTTCGGGTTTAGGGCCAGGGTGTGGGGTTTAGGGTTTGGGGTTTAGGCTTAGGGTTTAGGGTTTAGGGTTTAGGGTTTAGGGTTTAGGGTTTAGGGTTTAGGGTTTAGGGTCCGCCGACCCTGGCGGCGTGTTGGATGGGAAAAGGAGTCCCTCTTTCCCTCCGGGGTAGGGGGGGGTCCCCCGGCAGCTTTTCCGTCGAGGAACAGGCCACCCACACCGCATAAACTCATGGACCATAGGCGGTTTCGCACAGGGCATAGGGGCTCTTTTGCCCCCTTGCCCCTTTCCCACCTACCCCCCCCTACCCCCCCCTGCCCCCCCCCCCCCCCCCTACCCCAAGCAGCGTCTCGTCAGGCCCCAGCCCCCCCACCCACCCCCCCCCCACCCCCCCCCACCCCCCCACCCAAACCCCAATCCTTGAACTTGTTCTGCTGCGGGGTCGGCGGCTTGAGCCGGAGGCTCTTAAATCCGGCCCCCGCGCCGCCCGTGGTCCAGGGCGGAGCCCGCGTCGCACTAAAGCGCTAGCTTTAAGGGGCGAGCGCCCGCGCCGACCCCGCCCAAAATTGCTTCAAATTCGCGCGGGGCCCTTCGGGAGGCCTCCAAAACGGCATCCAAGGGGACGCAACACGCGGTGGTGCGAAAAGCACGAAAACCTCGTAAAAACCATGGGTTTTTACGAAAAACCGAGGCCACAAAACACCCGCAGCACTCCATTAAACCCTCACGGGCGCGCATCATCGGCCCAGCTTTTCACATGGGGCGCGCGCCAGGCCGAAACCACGTTTTTCAAGGTTTGGGGGGGGTACCGGAAGCCCAAAACCAGGCGAGCATCATGAGCATCAGCAGCACTGGCCCGCGGGCCCAAGGCAATAAAAAACGCTGAAAAACGCTGAAGTCACCGTAAATACCGTGTTTTTATGAGGTTTTTCACGCGTGCCTCCGACCCCCACCCCTGTTGCCCTTGACCCGCCCCCAAAGTGCGCATCATCGAAACCCACGTCCGGGGGCGGGTCTGCTGATGCTGCTGATGTGCGGGGTCCGGGCGCATCATCGAGCCATCGTTTCTCATGGGCTTCGTGGGGGGGTCCGGGCCGACGGCCCAGAGACCCAGCTGATGCTCATGATGCTCGTTTTGGGGGGGGGTTCCAACAGCAGAAAACCTCGTAAATACCGAGTGTTTTGTGGGTCCACGTAAAAACGCCCCTAAAATCGCTCATTTTACGCGCTCGAACGGCTTCGTGCCTACAAAACACCCGAACAGCAGGACCCCGAATGCCCTTAAGGGCATTCGGGGTCTTGCTTTTGGGGGTTTCGTGGGCACGCAAGCGTTCAAGCACATACAATCGGCGTGTTTAAGGGGGTTTTGGATGGCCTGGGGGAGGCCGCTGATGCTCATGATGCTCCCTTTCCTGGGTCCCAAAAGGCTTCCCAAGCCCAAAAACACGTGTTTACAGCGTTTTCTGAAGGTTTTTCGAAGGCAAAACGCATGCATAGAATGCTTTTAAGGCCCCCAAACCAACCCCACTGATGCTCCTGATGCGGGTGCGCGCGCGCGCGCGCGGGGGGGGGCGGGAGAGGGAGGGGGGGCGAAGGCAGGAGAAAGAGAGACAGAGAGAAGGAGAGGACAAAGACACGGGAAAGAGAAGACAGTGCCAAGGTTCAAGGTTTCGTGCTTTGGGGGGCGGGGGCCGGCCCGTGCCGCTAGGCCTGAAATTTAGGGTTTAGGGCTTGGGGCTTAGGGCTACTAGCACTGAAGTGCAAGTTGTCCAGCAACCTGGAAAAATCAAAGGTTAACCTTTGGGATTCTATTGGGACTAGAATACCCCCAAAAAGGTTAAAGGCTACCTACTCTACTCATAAGTTTTACTGGCAATCCTTACATAGTGATTTAGGGTTGAGGGTTAGGGTTTCGACTCTCGCACTTGCTCAAGCAGGCAAGGATTCTGTAAGGGTTTAGGGTTTAGGGTTTAGGGTTTAGGGTTTAGGGTTTAGGGCTACCAGCAATTTCAAGTGACCCTCAAACCTCCTGCTGCTACATATGACTAAAACCACTTGGGTCCTCCTCTTTCTTCGGTGTGCTCCACATCCTCGGTCTCGAAGCGGGCGCTGCGGTTTGCTTCCAGCACGAATTGCCTTGGTAGCCCAGTAACCATATCACCCTTTTTTGGGTTGGCTATTTTATAAGGGAAACCATAACCAAAAAAAAGGGAAAAAGGGCACCACTGGGCTGCCAAGTTGCAGCTCCCCGCGGGGGTTCGTCGCAGCCACGCCCGATGAAGTCCAGTCATCAGCTGGGTTCGTCGTCACAAGGGGCTGGAACATGCCCCCATTCCTTAGCTGTCCAGTGACTTGGGGGAATTCAAGGCTAGCCTTTGGGATGTTTATAGGGATTCGAACTAAGATTCACCAAGGGGATTCGGATACCCCCAAAAAGGTTAAAGGTTACCTTCTCTACTACTAAGATTCACAGACAAGGAACAACAAAGGTTAAAGGTGACCTACTCTACTACTACTAAGATTCACAGACAAGGGTCAGAATAACCCCAGAAAAGGCTAAAGGTTACCTGCTCTACCATACTAAGATTCACAGACAAGGAATTTGTCACCTTCCGCTGGTTGGTTTTCTGCTGAAGGCTCCAGCGATACGCCTTGTCGTGGCTCAGGCCAGAGATGGTGACAGACGCGAAGCCTCCAGGATCAAATGCGGCTTAGGGCTTCGGGTATTTTAGGGTGCAGGGCTTGGGGTTTAGGGTTTAGGGTTTAGGGTTTAGGGTTTAGGGCTTAGGGTTTAGGGTTTAGGGTTTAGGGTTTAGGGTTTAGGGTTTAGGGTTTAGGGTTTAGGGTTTAGGGTAGTTTAGGTTTTACCTCGGTGTAACTACATGAGCTACGGTCAAGCGCTACCTGCGCCCCACTATGGAGCCGCATGGACCGCGAGGCACCTGGCACATCTCTGACAAGGCCAATGCCTTTGAACGTGCTGGTCCATCCCACTGCTTCAACAGTAGCCGTGGAGTTGCCTGGTGACATATGTTGGTTCAGGGTTTAGGGTTTAGGGTTTAGGGTTGAGTACTGTTTGGCGTATAAAAGGGGTACCCCTGTTTTTAGGAGATACCCACACATGGCGAACATGCCCCAAGAAACGCACGGAAGTCTCTTGGCAGTCCCTCTCAGTTACCCCATCACGTCGAAGGGCCCGCTTTGCGGCAAGTCATCGAACCTTCTGACATGGGAAGAACCTCCCCATAAGACTCATCAATGCCCTAGTAAACTGGCAGGAGGCCTAGCACGCATGACGTGCGACGTTTGTTGGCAAATGCAGACCCGATGCCCAGTGGCAAGGCATAGCGTAGACTCCGGCTCAGGGTCGCGGTGGCATTGCCTGCAAGGTCGTGTGAATCGGTTCATTCAGCATGCTTGTTGTGGAACTATAAGTGCTTTTCAAGATCGCGACACAACTCATGGAAAGGCCTGACCAGTCTGCTGTGCCCCCCAAGACGAGGCTCTCCGGCGCTGGATGGGACGCAGGCGACGTGCCCACCTGCTGGATCAGGAACTCCCGCCGCAGCGTCGTCTTCCAGCAGGACTCGGGGTTCGAGACAGCACAGCTCAGGGTCCTCTCTACTCCCCTTGAAACCTTTAATAAAATGAAATATGTTTAATCTCCTCTTGGTTTAAAATCCTCTCTACTCCCCTTAACACCTTAATAAAATTAAATGTGTTTAATCGCCTCTTTTGGGTTTTATATTCACAAGAATAAAGAAACTAACTCCCAAAAAGGATGTAGTCCTGGGGAATGCGAAGAGCTCCCCCTCCATGCCGAACTCCCTCACTAGGCTGTCGCAGGCATGGAAGAGTCGGCAGACGGAAGCTCCATGTGAGGTTCCCATGAAGAAGAAGTTGCACTGGTCATGGCCCTGGCAACGCTCCTCTTACTGTTAAGGTGAGCAGGGAATGAGGGAACTAGGGCCCTATATACATATATATATTTTTTTTATTGATTTCTATATATATATATAATATATTATATACCCTTTAAGGGATTATGGGGTACCTTATTCCCCCATTTTTTTGCCAACCAACAGTAAGTCCTGGCACACGGAAGGCTCCCGGCTCTCGGGCTCCGTCAGAAACTTTATGCCGGCGCCTCCGGGAAGGAGCTGTCGGGCAGGACAGGCAAATTGCCCTGAGACGATGGCCACCGGGGGAGGCACGAAACCTTGGCAGCCCAATAAGTGCCATCTTATCATGGAGGGGCACCCTCATTTTTTTCTTGTTGACTACTTTAAAAAGGGCACCTTGAACCCCCCCCCCCCCCCCCAAAAAAAAAAAAAAAGATACTAGACTTGGCGATTAAGAAGCTGCCATTACTACCTGGGGGGATTGCCTCATAGGTCATGGGCTCGGCGGGGGCACTCGTACCCCAGTCCGGGTCAAGGCAATCGCATGGATGGAGCCAGTGGTCATCAGGTTGCAACGTTCCTTCGGGGCTGAGTACCCTAGCCCAAAAAAGGTTAACCTCTTCAATTATATACAAACCCCAAAAAGGTTAAAGGTCACCTACTCAGCTACTAAGGTTCCGGGGTCGTCAAACACAAAGTGCTGCAACTCGACACCCTCCATCTCAGCCACCTTGGCAGCCCAGTAACCATATTATAATAAGGGCACCCTTTCTTGGGTTGGCTATTTTATAAGGGAAACCATGACCATGGAAAAAAAGGGGAAAAGGGGTACCACTGGGCTGCCAAGCCACAGACGGCAAGGACGGACGCTTGCACGGCAGTGTGGCCATGCTGATTGAGCTGTCGGGAACACAGGCTTCCACGGCACCCTGGAGATCAAAGTAGCCCACGTCCTGCGCACAAACTTAACCAAACCTCGACCACCACAAGCAAGGCACCAATTCAGTTGCGTGTGCAAGGCGCATCAAGGGTGAAAGCAGAGCTCTGAAGCAGTTGTTAGGGGGTGGAGTTTTTTTTATTAGGGTCTTTTTTTTTAATAGGCCCTCCGTTGTTAGGCTTGGGGCGCGCGCGTCCCTTCTAGTGTGAGCTTTGGCAGGAACTCTTGTTCGGAGCCAATGAAACTCCAGGGTTCCCCAGTAGCTCCGTAACAATACGGGTACCCTTTAGGGTTTAGGGTTCAGGGTTCAGGGTTTAGGGTTTAGGGGTGTTAATAATAAGGAACCCCCCTAAACAACAAGGGAATCAGGGTACTACTCACGTCGTCCTGCTCGATGTGATCTCTCAGGGAGCTGGACTGCACCATCCAGTCTCCTTAAGATTTGGTTCTGATGGGCCCCCGAGTGCATGTAGGGTTTAGGGTTTAGGGTTTAGGGTTTACGGTTTCGGGTTTAGGGTTTAGGGTTTAGGGTTTAGGGTTACAACCTATAGGCACTGTTCTTGACTTCTTGCATAAGCAGAACAGTCGGCTCTTGTCCCAATCGCGCCAGGATCTCTTCCCGAGCCCATGAAGTCCAGAAAGACTCTGCACCCTCCTTCCCTTCTGAGAGAATCTTGATGCCTAGGGTTTAGGGTTTAGGGTTTAGGGTTTAGGGTTTAGGGCTTAGGGCTTAGGGCTTAGGATTTTACCAACTGCTCAGGCTCACTCATAAGAATTAGCACACACGCGAAGTGTCCGACGCAGTCGGAGCCCATCGAAAGGGAGAGGTACATCGCCTCTTCAGGGACGCTGCTGTTCTTCAGGTACACGTAGCCTTAGTTGCTCTGAAACTGATACCAGGAACACAGAAGTTAAACCCTAAACCCTAAACCCTAAACCCTAAACCCTGCTTCTTCCTGCTGACACAACATGGAGCAATGCCGCAAGTTTTGTGGACTGTTTGGGGCTTTACACTGTATCAACGATGAAGGGGTATAAGAGGACCCCTAGAAGGGATCCTTAATCTTATTCCCCTATCCAACCCATTTATAACCCCTACATATACCTCATAGTCCCGACATAACAAAGTAGCCCGCAAAGAACCCCTTAAGGTCCCTTACAAGGGCCCCTCCTTCCAGTCCCTCGAACGAACAAGCCAGGGAGCTGGACTGCGAAACGTCGTAGCCGATGGGGCAATACTCCTCAGCTGCTGTTGGGCCACAGATGTCAGGACTGTAACTTGTATACAAAACTGGACCCTGCACCCTAACCCTAAACCCTAAGCCCTAAACCCTAAACCCGCAGCTTCCTTCTTTAAAAGGCGGCCCGGATTCGCCACTTAAGGCCCACCTTGCGTGCTTCAGGCGCAGGCAGGTGCCCATGTCCGTGCACTCCGGGATCTTCGCATGTGCTGTCACCGTGGAGCCCCCTGTGGTCTGCCGCTGATACTGCTTGCCTAGGTAGGGTTTAGGGTTTAGGGTTTAGGGTTTAGGGTTTAGGGTTTAGGGTTTAGGGTTTAGGGTTTAGGGTTTAGGGTTTAGGGTTTAGGGTTTAGGGTTTAGGGTTTAGGGTTTAGGGTTTAGGGCTAGACACAAGAGTCGTCGAAAGAACTGACGCTGCAAAACAACTGCCGAGTTGAATGCGCGATGCAGTGGCACTACTGAAAAATCCAAGCAGCACTGGCCGTCTGTGAAGAGATAATGTGAGCAGGTTTTCATCGTGCGGCATAGATTCCTGCACGCGGCATCCGACGTGGCGGCGTAGTCGACGGCGACGCCGTGGAAAGTTTCCCGGGTCCAACACATACCTAAAGTTTTAAAGGACCGTCATGGGCAGATCGTAACAATCATTCTTTACAGGAAAGAAGGGACCTTTGCTCTGAATAGTATAGGGGCCTTAGCAGCTAGATTTTTTTTTTTTTTTTTGGGGGGGGGGGGGGGGCGTCATCGACGTATACTTCTAAAGGAGCCATAAGGGAATACTACAGTAGCCCTAAACCCTAAACCCTAAGCCCTAAACCTTAAACCCTAAACCTTAAACCCTAAACCCTATGGTTCTAACCACTAAGGTCCCTCTATTCGGCCGAGTTTCTGTCCTTGATCTCAATCTGAAGGGGCGCCTCCAAGGCTTTCAACCTCGGCACCCACCGGTGGCTAAGAACTTCCTCGTTTAGGGTTTAGGGTTTAGGGTTTGGGGTTTGGGGTTTGGGGTTTGGGGTTTAGGGTTTAGGGTTTAGGGTTTAGGGTCCAGCGCATCATCCTGCAACATCTATGACGTAGTGGGTGTACCCGTTCAGACAGCCAAATCCCCAAAGTGCGAGGACGTTTTGGGATCACTGGCCTTAAAAGGGGTTTATGGTTCATGTGGAGGTTTACGAAAGTACGGGACCCCAAATAGTAGGATTCCCTTACAATAAGGACCTGAATAAGGTACCCTGAATTGCGGAAACTCCCATATACCGTAACAGGACTCAAGATCTTGGGCATGCGCTGTGGGCTTCAAGTTCCACGCTGCGTGCCAGGAACATCACAAGGAGAGCACACTTCACCTAGGACCTAGGACCTCGGACCTAGGAGTCGTTTAGGGTCTAGGGTTTAGTAGTTTAAGGCTTCGGGTTTAGGGTTTAGGGTCAAAACGACGACAGCTTCTGCACTTCACGACCGGCATACGTGGTGGAAGCACGACGTTACGCCCGCGGACGCGAAGTTTTCCAGCAGGGCCCGGCCGAAGGGAGCCGACATCATTTGAACCTACTTGGAGGTTCATGGGTGTTTATAACCCCAATTCTGAGTCTACTTGTGGCTTACTTAGAGGACTTAAGGGGCAAGTGCCGATACATTTTGGGTTATAAGCAATACCTCATCCCAAGAGCCCTCTAGTGCAACTACTGTTTCGAGAACATGTTTTTTTGGGAGGGGTATTTCAAATCCCTTAAGCCTCAGTCAAGAAGCTCTGAAGCCTCTACTGAACGCAGAATGGACACTTCGCACCCTACGTCTAAACCAAGCCTCTACTGAAAGCAATGGACGCTTCGCACCCGACGTCTAAACCCCATAGCCCAGCTGCTTGGTACCTGGGAAAGTGCCCCGAACGGTACACTGGAGCCGAACGGTCCTCCGCGCTGGGCCTTCGATCACCTTGCGTGTCTTTAGGATTCAAGGCTTTGTAGGGGTCTTGAGGATTCAAGGCTTTGTAGGGTTTAGGGTTTAGGGTTTAGGGTTTAGGGTTTAGGGTTTAGGGTTTAGGGTTTAGGGTTTAGGGTTTAGGGTTTAGGGCAGGGGTTTAAATGGTTTAAATAGGGCCCTCTGTTGAGAGTCATCAGGGTTTCTGCAGGATGTAGGGTGCGACGCAGTCAACACCCACTCGTTGCCTTTCAGCTGGTCTGAAGTGCTTCCTTCCGGAGGGTTTATAGGGGTTAGGGTTTCGGGTTTAGGCTATATTGTGGGTCTTCTATACTAAGATACAGCAACGTTCTCGTAGAATGTGCCGTGCAAGTTGATCTCCAAGCCGTGCTTTTCGTGCATGTGGCACTGCTTTGATGCAACTCCTCCCTAAACCCTAAACCCTAAACCCTAAACCCTAAACCCTAACCCCTTCTGCTTTTCTGCCCAAGGCACGGCATCAAAGAGCCTTGCCATGCCCTCGGAGGGAGCGACGTGGAGGCTGCCGTCGGGCTCGATGCTCCTTGACGTTTCCGTTGGATTCTTTGCTTTCACTCCTTGACTTTTCCCAGATCCCATGTTGAGCTCTTTGCTTTCAACTTCTTGCCGTTTCCTTCTCAAGTTTGTGAGCGCCAATCATTGCACAGCACAAGGCGCCGTACTTTCGCACGTTGTGCTGCTGCACTACCACTAGTCATCGCCACAGCGTTGAAGAGCCTCTCACAACGATGCTAAACATGTCAGAATCAACATGCCCTACACCGCCCTGTTACGACTGTCGACCTATGAACTTTCTGTTGCTTAGCAGGGCATGAGGGACTTAGGGGCCTAGATATACCCTTTAGGGGATTATATAGGGTACCTCATTCCCTCATTCCCGACTAAGCAACCGTAAGTGAAAAAGAAGTGGGTTTAGGGTTTAGGGTTTAGGGTTTAGGGTTTAGGGTTTAGAATTTAGGGTCGTGCCCCAGGCTCATGAGTGGCCAGCCCCCAAGCGAGCCAGCTGCGAGCATCGTGTCAAAGGAGAAGTCTGCAAAAGCGGCCAAGCCTCTGGGTGGCCCTAAACCCTAAACCCTAAACCCTAAACCCTAAACCCTAAACCCTAAACCCTAAACCCTAAGCCCTAAGCCCTAAGCCCTAAGCCCTAAGCCCTAAACCCTAAGCCCCGGGTGGAAGCAGGGCTCTGATTTGGGGTCAGAAAGAAAGGGGTTTGGAAAACTTTCACAAGGGATAAACTGTAGTAAAAACTAACCAACACCGTGTATCGAAATCACTTTTCGGCGCACCGACGAGCCTGCAGTGCGGTACGTGCGAACTGTGATGCAACGAAAAAAATCAACCTTGGAATACCCCGGCCTGAAACAGCACAGGCCAGCTCAAATCGAGAGGGTCGCAAGCCGCCTGCGTGCTCCTCTGGCTGGTTCTTCGTCGGGAATGAGGGAATGAGGTACCCTATAATCCCTTAAAGGGTATATATATATATATATCTCTGTATATATATATATATATACATACATACATACATATATATATATATAAGGCCCGAATTCCCTCATTCTCTCTACGAAGAGCCAGGGGGTCCTCGAAGCCATGAGGAACTTGAACCTGGATTGGTGGCAACTCTTCTCCCACGACCACCTCTGCAGAATGGACCTGCCCCAGCGACACAGTTGCTCGGCATTGTAAGGGTTCAGTGTTTAGGGTTTGGGGTTTAGGGTTTTGTACGTGGCAACATGACATGACTTGTGTAGATGTACGATATGCTGAGATTCAGACGCGATCATAAACCTGATGATGCGGAATGGCATACCACATGGCGAATAAATTGCTCTGCTATGGCTACTATACATAGTATAGGCGTAGGTACTACTATGAACCGCATGAGTACAACATGTTCGACTGGTCGAGGACCTATTCTAACACATGCTCCCAACATCAATCAACCCTGGGCAGCAACTTCTGCTTGGGTACTGTCTAGGTCTCACGGGCTGCTGCCCTGCGCGTACGAGTTCCAGATGCAGGCACAACCTTCTAGCCCCCCACTCCCAAACCCCCCTCAAGCCACAAAACCCCACACCAGCCCTTTTGAAACCCAGAACTGCGTTGCCGGCCCCCTGAAGTGCAGTCAGCAGCAAGCAACTACCAGATGACAAACTCCCCAAGCCACCAGCTGCAAGGAAGTCCCACGAAATTTCCTGAGAATCCCCAAGCCCTCCCCTAAACCCTAAACCCTAAACCCCTAAACCCCTAAACCCCTAAACCCCTAAACCCCTAAACCCCTAAACCCCTAAACCCCTAAACCCCTAAACCCCTAAACCCCTAAACCCCTAAACTATTTGCAACCCTGCATCTTGGCCTCGTAGCTCAATTGGGGCCAGGGCTGCAGGCGCACGGCCACAAAGGAGCTGCTAAACTGTGTGCGACCTTGGAAAAGCTAGATGAAGGGAAGTCTTGGGTTCAGGGTTTAAAGTTTAGGGTTTAGGGTTCAGGGTTTAGGGTTTAGGGTTTAGGGTTCAGGGTTTAGGGTTCATCTTCTTTTTGGCTTCGGGTTTAGGGTTTAGCTGTTTTGGGGGAGCCTTTAGGTCCTCCAAGGGTAGGAACATGAAATCGCCCAACAGGGAACAAGGGTCCACTATGGATCCTGCTTTAGCAGGCCGTCTGACCGTTCTGCTAACAGCGAGTTCTTGCTTCTGATGGCCTTGGTACATCAAGTCTCTGGTTCAAGGACGACATCTCTGTACTGGCTGGCGGGGAACTGTCGCCATGCTTCCAGCCGGAAACCACCTGGGATGAGTTAGGGTTGAGGGTTTAGGGTTTAGGGTTCAGGGTTTAGGTTTATAGGTGTTAAAGGGTCGATTGAAGTAAAAACTAAACCCTGAACGCTATGCTGCTGCAGGCAACTCAAGCCAACAACAAACAGCCTGGCCACGCAAACGGCACCATCCATCGCCTTGTAGTTCCCGGCTTCAGCAACCTGACCAAGGGCAGGGTGTAGGTAGGGTTAGGGTGGTCAGGATTGAAATGTTTAGGGACCTCTTTCCTGCATGCTTGTGTTGAAAGAAAGCATAAACTTGAGTCATGACCTGCAGACTGAATCCATGTCCTATCAGCGCTCTTTGGCGATCATGTATGCCCTAAACCCTAAACCCTAGACCCTACACCCTGAACCCTAAACCCTAAACCCCAAACCCTAAACCGTGTTGCAGTGCACAGGCGTAGTAAGACATAGCAAGACAAATCCTGGCATCCGGCAAACGTGCTTGCCATTCGCGCCTCCATCTCCGTGAGCACCCCTGGAGGTTTCGGGTTTAGGGTTTAGGGTTTAGGGAAATCTGCCCCCATGTTTGTTGAATAGGGCTCCTTCTGCGTGAGCCAACGTGTTCGCCACGTGAAGCCCCACAATCGGAAACTGATTTCGAAGGCCACCCCGAGTGAGAAAAGAAGAAAACTAACCGGCCTAAACCATGAAACCTTAAGACCCTAAACCCCTTTAGTCCTAAACCCCATACCCCATACCCCAAACCCGAAACCCTAAACCCTAGACCCTAAACCCGAGCCCTTAAGCTTACGCACCTGCAGTGCCAGAGGAGGCATCCAAGCGCCCATCGGCTCCCAAAGAGAGCCACGGCGCCTCTGGCGCACACCTCAAGCCTGGGTTTAGGGTTTAGGGGTTTAGGGTTTGGGGTTTGGGGTTTAGGGGTTTGGGGTTTAGGGTTTGGGGTTTAGTTTAGGCTTCAGGGGTTTTGGGTTCAGGATCTTAGGGTGGGTTTAGGGTGAAGGGTTTAGGGTTAGGGGTTTTAGGGTGGTTTAGGGTTTACGGTTCAGGGGTTTAGGGTCATCCCGCTGCTAGCAAACAAGAAATATCAAGTTGTCAAGGTTCGGGGCTTTGTGAATGGCAGAGTGCGGTAGATGCACCTTGACGCAAGATGTTCATTTGGGGGCCAAAAGAACCCCAAAAGGGTTGATGGTTCACATTACCGAAAGAGGAGTTACAGTAGTATAGGGCATCTGAACCCCAATTTGAGGGTTTCTTTGGTTTCGTGCTTCTCTTAAGCAGCCCAAACCTACTTTTGTAGGTTACCTCAGAATCCTATAAGGGGTTATATAATGGGAGCCTACAAAACAAGCTTTGGGCCCCTCATAGCGACTGAATCCTCATAGCAACTTAGTTTACGTTCATGGCGTTCCTTGCAAGCAGCCAGAAATGCCTAAAATCAAGCCGTGACATCCTTCCCTAAGTGAAAGTAAAGCGAGAGCAAAGTGAGCCCCAAACCCCAAACCCCAAACCCTAAACCCTAAACCCTTTTTTGCAACTGGGCTGGGGGACTAGAACCCTAAACCCTAAACCCTAAACCCCAAACAAACCAAGCAGCTAAAGTCACTCCATTCCCCGGCGCTGCGCGCCAGCGCGAGCGTGTCACCGGCGCTGAGGAGTAGCAAGCTGGCACCGAAATTCAAGTAATCAGCCGCAACCAGCACCCTCACCTGGGTGCCAAGGACTTCAGGGTTTTGGGTTTAGGGTTTAGGATTTAGACGCCTTGTAGGAACAATATACGGTTGTCCTGGTATTGTCTACTTTAGAGCAGAGTATGCAGGTGTTGCGATGACTGCTCGCGCGACCAAGAAAAGCAACACTCATTGCTCACCTGAGCAACAAAAGCAAAAGCCATTGTGCTGCAGTCTAGGCACAGTCAAAGAAAGACCAAGCGGTTGGTGCGCGGTAACCTCGCACTGTATCCCGAACGGCTCTGCGGGCTTGTCAGCTCCAGCAATGTAGGAAATCTTCCTGGCGTTCCTATATACACTTAATTTAAAAAGGGCCCTAGAGCTGTTCTGAAGTCCCTTCCACAGAACATTGGGGGCGTGGATCTTGAGACAACTTCTGCCGAATTTGCCTGCTGGATCTGGATTTGTACATACCCAGGTTCTGAAACACGGCTTGTCACACCTAGACTCAAGAGTACCCTAGGAATAAAAAGGGTGCCCTTTTTTTGGTTCAAAGGGGCTTCTAAGGGAACCTCAACCCTACAAAGAAAAGGGAATAACGGCCGTTCTCTGGGTCCTAAACCCTAAGCCCCAAACCCCAAACCCTAAACCCTTTTGCTTTAGGTCTCTCCGACGTGCCTGGCTCCGACCTCCAGCCTGCTCCAGCCAACCCCTAAACCCTAAACCCTAAACCCTAAACCCTAAACCCTAAACCCTAAACCCTAAACCCTAAACCCTAAACCCTAAACCCTAAACCCTAAACCCTAAACCCTAAACCCTCTGGGGTCAGGTCACGGTCTCAATGGCAGCCAAGCTTCCCTGTGGTGCTGTCCATGGTCAAGTTGTGGGTGGCCAGCGGGCACTTGTCCAGCGAGTATCCTCGGATCCCCAGGGGTAGGCTGGCCTTCGAATTAGGGTTTAGGGTTTAGGGTTCAGGGTTCAGGGTTCAGGGTTTAGGGTTCAGGGTTTAGGGTTTAGGGGTTTATAGGGGTTTAGGGTTTGGGGTTTAGGGTTTAGGGTAGGTGAACAAAGCTCCACGTGTCGGTCGGCTGTTCGCGGCATGGGCCGGAGCTCCAGGTCGCCACCGACTTCGAAGCGCACGTCTGGGTAGTGGAAAGGTGTGGCCTCTCGGTGCCCACCATGACATCTGCAGCAGGCCTGTCGTTCCACTAGAGTCTATATGAGAATAGCATTATTCCAGAATAGATTCTGTTATGTCTAATAGCAACATAGTATATGTCCTGTTATATTAAAACTAGACCCTGTGAGGTAGCCTAGGAATAAACAGGGCACCCTTTTTGGTTTTAAGGGGAGTGCAAGGGAACCCCAACCCTAAAAGCAAGGAAAGAAGGGCCTACTCCCAGTCCTGTCATCTGGCATAGTAGCTTCTGTTTGTGACAAGAAACCCTAAACCCTCCGGGGGAGCCCTCGAGCCTGGTTGCTGCTGAGGCCATTCACCACACGATCGTTGCAGTCCTCAGAAGTCAAGGCCCCGCAAGGAAGTCCCGAGTCGCTCTGCCACCCGAGGATGTCTGCACACGCGATGCAGTGCTTGTCTTGATGGACGAAGCCACCCTGGCATTCCGTGCAGGTGTCTTGGAAGACGGCGCAGCCAGAGCACTGGACGGAGTTCAAGGGACCTGACTGGACAAGATCTTGCAACAGCAGACGTCAAGCTCCCTAAGCCCTAAGCCCTAAACCCTAAACCGCTTTTGACAGCTCTTTTTTGCGCGTCCGCTCTCGCAACAACACGAAGATCAAATGGGCCCGAGAGGCAGCAGGATGTCTGAGATGAGCTGGGTCCAAACCTAGGTCATGGTTGGGATAGTATTAAACAATCTAAATTTCTATTTCTTACTGAGTTTAAGTCTAAGTACCCTGAAAACATGTAAAATGTTACCCCTGAACCCTTTTGCTGCAGGCTTGCTTGAATCCTCGCCTGGATGTGTCGCGCTTGTTCTCCGAACAAAGCCAGACACAGAATGAACCTACTGATTGACAAGTGTTCTCGAGCTGACCGTGCCGCCATGTTTGCGAATCTCTTCACGAAGTATCACGCACAAACGAATGAGCCATGAGCGTCGTTCACCGCGAGGGGCCTCCCTGTGCTCTCGTTGGAGATCGGACAAAATGGCTTGCAACCCCTTTACCACCTCCGCATCACTCTTCGCCTGTGCAACAAAATGTCGCACGAAGCCTTCTGGATCATCCCGCAAGGAAGGAAAGGTGTTCGGTTCGCAGGAATCGCCAGATCTGAGGTCATGGTTGTCTCGTTTGTGTTGGTTGGGCTCCCCTGTGTCCATAGCATCAGTATCCTGAACTATAGCAGTCTCGCGCAAGTGCTTCAGCATGGCAGGCTTTCGTATATTGGGATCACCTGCTGTAGGGTCACGCCTCTCCCCTTGAGCTTGTTCGGGTTCCCCATCATGTGGGAAAAGAAGCTCAGCAAGATTGAGTGTTGTGGCAAGAGGAGCATCTGGAGTGCCAGAAGTGCGGAGTGGCTCATAGCTGAAGTCCTGCAACTGTTCCCGCAACTGTTGTCGGCAGTCATCTCCGGCCTGACGGAGCATGTTCATGGCCGCCTTGAGGTGGTTCTCCACATCAGATGGTACTTTGAGGATCGCTGCCTTTCGTATGGCATAACCAATGCATGAACATAGCTTACTGTGGCCCGTGTCTGACACCATGGCAAACACTGGAGTGCGAAGCACTAAAGAACTGCTGAATCTGAATTGTTGCAATCACCCGCTTTGGGTCTCGTAGCCCCCTAAACCCTAAACCCCAATCCCAACTATGACCAAGAAGCTTGGTGAGTTGGATACCTTCGCAGCTGGTCTCCGATGCATTTGCCTTCTCAGCCTGCTTGGAGGTTCATGGTACGCATTCAAAAAGAAGCTGTACTTATAACTGTACTGTACTTATAACCATATTCGGGCAGTTAAGGGGCTTTTTAGTGGGTGATAAGTACAGTTAGAATTGGTTCAGACGTACCATAAACCTCCAAGTGGTGGTCAAGGCCGGAAAAGGCACGCGGAGACATCCTGAGGTCGGGATTTCGGCAGTCCCGCTACTGTTATTTCTATTGTTATTGCTATTATTGCCATTGTTGCTCTGCCTGGTCCCCGCCTCTACGTCCAAATTTCGGACGTTCGAAAAATATAGGACGGGGCACCTAAAAAAATCAAAAGCTAAGGGTGTGTGTTCAACAAAGCAACCTATGTAAGAAGAAAAGCCCCTCTTTACACCCCTGAAACTGAGTGCTGGACCGTAGACCCCTTAAGAATTGAACCCAAAACGAAAAACTGATCCAAAGCCGAACTCCGCAAAGCGTACATATATACTGCCGTATACAACCCCTCCTCAATCCTGAAATCCGATTCCGTTACAACAACTGCTGGGCCTTCGTGAAGCAAGGTTGCTAAAACGGTTTAGGGTTTTTAGGGTTTTTTGGGTAGATAGGGTTGATATTATATAGGCTTTATATACAAATATATATATATACATGTATGCACAAATGTTTGTACACACATATATGTATATACTGATTCTATACAGTGTGTATATATCTATATATATGTGTGTGTGCATAAACATACCTACAAATATACATATATACAGACTGCCGAGATGGAGTTTTGATTTATATTCGAACTCTCACACACATTATACATATCTACATATGTAAATACCTATATCTATATGGTGTATATATATATATGTCTGTGTGTGTGTTAGCACGAATTACAAACAAAGAAGAAATGTGCGTGTATAAGCTCCATGCCAATCATGCTCTCGCTCTCTCTCTCTCTCTCTATCTCTCTCCCTCCTTTTTGCTTCTCTCCCATTTGCGTGTCTGCCCACACATAACAAGATCTTATATCCCGACACGTGTGTATACGTATGTATATATATATATAGACAAGGTATCTCGACACACGCTTGCGTGTAATTATGAATATCTATCTATATATGCTGAACCCCCCCCCCCAAGATCCGCATCTGAGTGCTTGTAGTCTTGATCGCCGAAATTTCTGTATGCGTCATTCGTTCATTCATGTTGGAACTTTGCTCTTGTACGAAAACCTTGACAGTGCAAACTCCAGTTGACAAGCGCGAGGGACACACTCAGGGAGAGAGAGACAAAGGGACAGACAGAGAGAGAGAGAGAGAGAGAGTATGTACCATCTATCTATCTATATATATATATGGTCATGTATTAAATACGACTAGAATATTATCACGAACTTCAATATAGAAAGAAACTAAATCGATATATGAAATAATTCAGGCAAGAATGGCTTGAGATATCTTAGCTAAGGCATAGTTTTTTGGATGGCTTAAGACACGTTAGCTAAGGTATATAGTGTTTAGTATAGAGTTCAGGTTTTGCTTATCGGGGGGATGATTGCTTCAGATATCTTAGCTCAGGCTTAGTATGGAGTTCAGGTTTTGCTTATTGGGGTATGATTGCTTGACATATCTTGGCTCAGGTGGAGTATAGAGTTCAGGTATTGCTTATTGCAGGATGATTGCTTCAGATATCTTAGTACCTCAGGTTTAGTATAGAGTTCAGGTTTTGCTTACTAGGGGATGACTGCTTTAGATATCTTAGCCCAGGTTCAGTATAGAGTTCAGGTTTTGCTTATTGGGGGGGATGATTGCTTCCCATATCTTAGCTCAGGATTTTCGTATAGAGTTCAGGTTTTGCTTCTTGGGGGGATGATTGCTTCCCATATCTTAGCTCAGGTTTAGTATAGAGCTCAGGTTTTGCTTATTGGGGGATGATTGCTTCAGATATCTTAGCTCAGGTTTAATATAGAGTTCAGGTTTTGCTTATTGGGGGGATGATTGCTTCAGATATCTTAGCTCAGGTTTAGTATAGTATTGAGTTCAAGTTTTGCTTATTGGGGATTGTTTCAGATATCTTGCTCAGGTATAGTATAGAGTTCAGGTTTTGTTTATTGGTGGATGATTGCTTCAGATATCTTAGCTCAGGTGTGTTTTTTAGGATTGATGTCGTGGTTTGCTTATTGGTTGCTTAACAGAGGCAGCAAAACGTTGCAAAACCTCGAGGAGGTACCAATAAACCAAAGTTCAAGCACCAAAATGCTGCAAAACCTCGAGGAGGTACCAATAAAACAAAAATATCTGAGACCTACAGCCCCGGATCACCGATAGTCTCAAAATCTTTGTACCTCCTCGAGGTTTTGCAGCAAAACCTTGCAAAACCTCGAGGAGGTACCAAAACAACCAAAGTTCAAGCACCAACATGCTGCAAAGCCGAGGAGGTACCCAAAAGAAACACAAAAAAGATTTGAGACCTACAGCCCCGGATCCCTGCATAGTCTCATATTTTTGCTTTTTTGGGCTTTTGATACCTCCTTGAGGTTTTGCGTCATTTTGATCCTTGAGCTTTGTTTTTTGTTGGTACGTCCTCGAGGTTTCGCAGTAAAACCTTGCAAATCCTCGAGGAGGTACCAAGAAAACCAAAATTCAAGCACCAAGATGCCGCAAAACCTCGAGGGGTTCCAAAAAAACAAAAACTATGAGACCTACAGCCCCGGATCACCCGATAGTCTCACTTTTTTTCGTACCTCCTCGAGGTTTTGCATCGTTTTGATCCTTGAGCTTTGTTTTTTTTGTACCTCGTCGAGGTTTTGCAGCAAAACCTTGCAAAACCTCGAGGAGGTACCAAAAAAATCAGCAAATAATATCCTGGTGACTTGTTTTATGGGATTTTGTTTTGGGGAGCCTACAGCGCTGAATATTTTGAGCATGTAAGATATCAAAACTTGCGTTTGTCGATGTTTTTACATGGTCGTGTTACGAAAACACTGGCAGGTGTGGCAAACACACATATGAAATCGAGAAGACGGAGGTCCAGAATCCGGACCTCGAGAAACAGAACGAACAAGCAACCACAACATCATAGAGCCATAACTTGTTTGCAAAGCGCGTTTTTGTCGGTATTTACAGCGGTTGGCTTGGAGTATTTCTCATGGGTCGTCTAAAAGTAGTTGTGATACTGGTCGGCCCCTCCAAGTGTGGATCTGGGGGGGGGGGGGGGCGACCATATATATATATATACATATGTACATATTTTTTCTAAATATGTGTGTGTGTGTGCGCGTGCGTGTCTCTGTGTGCGTGCATATGTGCATGCGTCGATGATATGTATATAAGCATATTATATATTTATTAATATTTTTTAATTATATTATGTTTTATTTATTTATGTATACTTGATATATTGATGAACCTATTTGTCTGTGTCTCTGTGTGTGTGTGTGTGTTGGGTCGTGTGCGTGTGCACGTGTGCACGTTCGTGTGTGTGTGTGTGTGTGTGTGTGTGTGTGTGCTCGTTTGCGTGCGTGTGTGCGCGTGCGCAAGCGCGTGCGCGTGTGTGCGTGTGCGTGTGCGTGTTCGTGTGCGTGTGCACCCTTTGAAAAGCTCTACGTGGCCTACACACAACCAACCAACCAACCAGGACCAAAATCTTTGAAATATTAAAATCCTGAAAGCCTGGGGACCTAAAAACGCACCACTGGACAGCACCACTTTGGCGTGGAAAAGTGCGGCGTTGGCGCGGTTTTGGCGCTGAAAAGTGCGGCGTTTTTTTTTGGGCGTTTTTCGGGGGCCTATTTTTTTTAGCCGTTGGCGTCCCAAAACCAGACGTTGGCGTACTATTTTTGGGCGCGGCGTTCTATTTTCAGACGTTGTGGAGCCCAGACCACAAAAAAAACGCAAAAAAAGGTGCAAAATCGCTTGGAAAACCTGGCCTGTACTAAAGAAGAGGAACCGAGCCAGGAGCCAGACCAACAAACCATACCGGCTGCAGAATAGAAGATGCATACACACCCGATACTTTGCCGAAAGCAAGCAGATCCGCCCTTCAGCCGTGCCAGAACACGGTGTCCAAGACAAAGGGGTGCTTGACAGGGCACACGAATTACGCTGCTGATCTTGCTTAACTGTACTGCAGCTATGCAGGAAGCAGATTGGGACGTGTCAGCTCACAAATGACGTGGCATAAGCTCCCTCCACCCCGGTGGAAAACATACCCTCGTGGGATCCAAAAAGGTACACAACTAACTCAGGCATATGGGCGTCACTCCACATGTCGGTTCCCATCTCCCATGTGTCCCAAAGACTGAAAGCATCGGGGAGACGAGACGGCTCGGTATAAAAGGTCGCTGGGTGCTTCTTTACCACACAGAAACATAACGTTGAAGTGTGTATATATATATATATATTTATTTATTTATTTATTTATTTATGTGCAATGAAAATTTTATAATAGAATATACATACATATATATATTTTGTCTCTATTAATTTATTTATTGACATTTATAGTTTTATATTTATATGGTCGCCCCCCCCCCCCGCCCCCCAGATCCACACTTGGAGGGGCCGACCAGTATCACAACCACCTTTAAACGACCCATGAGAAATACTCCGAGCCAACCGTGCTGTAAATACCGATAAAAACGCGCTTTGCAAACAAGTTTAGATATGGCTCTATGATATTGTGGTTGCTTGTTCGTTCTGTTTCTCGAGGTCCGGATTCTGGACCTCCATCTTCTCGATTTCATATGTGTGTTTGCCACACCTGCCAGTGTTTTCGTAACACGACCATGTAAACATCGAAAAACACAGGCTTTTATATCTTACATGCTAAAAAATATTCAGCGCGGTAGGCTCCCAAAAAAAACCCATAAAACAAGTCACCAGGACATTATTTGCTGATTTTTTGGTACCTCCTCGAGGTTTTGCAAGGTTTTGCAAGGTTTTGCTGCAAACCTCGAGGAGGTACCAATAAAAGCCAAAGCTCAAGGATCAAAATGATGCAAAAACCTCGCGGAGGTTCCAAAAAACCCAAAAAACATCAAAGTGTTTAGACTATCGGGGGATCCGCGGCTGTAGGTCTCAGAATTCTTGGTTGTTTTTGTTTTTTGGTAGCTCCTCGACGTTTGCAGCGTTTTGGTGGTTGAACATTGGTTTTGTGGTACCTCCTCGAGGGTTTGCAAGGTTTTGCTGCAAAACCTCGAGGAGCTACCAAAAGAACTAAATATTTGAGACTATCCGGGGATCTGGGGCTGTATGTCTGAGATAGTTTTTTGGTACCTCCTCGAGGTTTTGCAGCACTTTGGCGCTTGAACTTTGGTTTTTTGGTACCTCCTCGAGGTTTTGCAACGTTTCGCTGCATATTTTAAGCAATCAGTAAGCAAACCGTGACATCATTCCTAAAAAATACACCTGAGCTAAGATATGTGAGGCAATCATCCCCCAACAAGCAAAACCTGAACTCTATACTAAACCTGAGCTAAGACGCTAAGACATGCCAAGCAATCATCCCCCAATAAGCAAAACCTGAACTCTATACTAAACCTTAGCTAAGATATGTGAAGCAATCATCCCCCAAGAAGCAAAATCTGAACTTTATACTAAACCTGAGCTAAGATATCTGAAGCAGGCATCCCCCAATAAGCAAAACCTGAACTCTATACTAAGCCTGAGCAAAGTTATGTCAAGCAATCATCCCCCCGATAAGCAAAACCTGAACTCTATACTAAACCTGAGCCAAGATATGTCAAGAAATCATCCCCCCAACAAGCAAAACCTGAACTCTATACTAAACCTGAGCCCAGATATGCCAAACAATCATCCCCCAATAAGCAAAACCTGAACTCTCTATACTAAGCCTGAGCTAAGATAGATATCTGAAGCTATCATCCGCCAATAAGCAAAACCTGAACTCTATACTAAACACTATACCTTAGCTAACATGTCTTAAGCCATCAAAAAATCTCTGCCTTAGCTGAGATATCTCAAGCAACCATCCCCCGATAAGCAAAATCAGAATTATATCATATAGCGATACGTTCTATATTGAAGTTCGTTATAATATTCTAGTAGTATATAACACATGACCATGCACATGTCAAGGTGGTAAACACACGCACACACTCTCTCTCTCTCTCTCTGTCCCTTTGTGTCTCTTTCTTTCCCCCAGTGTGTCCCTCGTGCTTGTCAACTGGAGCTTACACTGTGACAGTTTTTGTACAAGAGCAAAGTTCCAACATGAATGAACGAATGACGCATACAGAAATTTCGGCGATCAAGACTACAAGCACTCAGATGCGGATCTTGGGGGTCAGCATATATATATATATAATATGTATAATTATCGCTTTATATAGGTGTTATATATGTATAGAAACACATGCGTATGTATAATACCTGTCCGAGTAGAAAGGTGTACAAACATACAGAATATACACACAGACACACAGACGCACAAATAGTGTATATATGTGTGCACATGTACATACACATACCCCTCCCCTCCTTCCCTCCTCCCTCCTCCCTCCTTCCCTCCTTCCCCCCCTCCCTCCTTCTTCCTTCCCTTCTTCCTTCCCTTCTTCCTTCCCTTCTTCCTGCCCTTCTTTCTGCCCTTCTTCTCCTTCCCTCCTTCTCCTTCCCTCCTTCTCCTTCCCTCCTTCTCCTTCCATCCTTCTCCTTCCCTCCTTCTCCTTCCCCCCTTCTCCTTCCCTCCTTCTCCTTCCCTCCTTCTCCTTCCCTCCTTCTCCTTCCCTCCTTCTCCTTCCCTCCTTCTCCTTCCCTCCTTCTCCTTCCATCCTTCTCCTTCCCTCCTTCTCCTTCCCTCTTTCTCCTTCCCTCCTTCTCCTTCCCTTCCCTCCTTCTCTCCCTCCCTCCCTCCCTTACATTGTTAGTCTTCTTCTTTTTCTTGTCACAAGGACCGTTGTTTGTGTTTGTGTTCGGTGTTGTCGCCCTTGTTTCCTGCTACTGTGTTTGTTCGTGGGCTGCTGCTGCTGCTGCTGCTGCTGCTGCTGCTGCTGCTGCTGCTGCTGCTGCTGCTGCTGTTGTTGTTGTCGTCAATTTTGTTATTTGTCTTGCTGCTGCTGTTGTTATTTCTTTGTCCTTCGTGGTGTTCTTCTTCTTGGTGCTGTTATTATTGTTGTTCTTGTCGTTTTGGTTTCTTATTGTTATTGTTCTTGTTCTTGTCATTGTTCTTGTTCTTGTTGTTGTTCAAAGCCAGCTAAGTACAAGAAAGGTTGCGGGATTCCAGGAAAGTTCGAGGCCCGCGCAAGAAAATCAGACGTTTCAACCAAAAATCAGACGTTTCAACCAAAAGCCTAATTTTCCCAAAAAAACAGGCGGGGCCAAAAAACGAACACACAGAGAGGGACCAGGTGATTGTTGTTGTCATTGTTAATTGTTATTGCGATTATTCTTATTCTCATTATTGTTACTGCTATCGTTTCTATGATTAGAACTATGATTATGACTGAGCCAACCTCAAACATCGCCCTGCCTCGTGGATCAGCAGCCCCGTCGCCCGGGGCTGCCTGCGCTGTGGGCGCCTCTGGCATTGCGGCGCCAGGTCCGATGCGATGGCCCCCGCACCCCTAAAGGTGGCATGCTGGCTGAAACCAAAGGAGGCATCCTGGTTCTTGGTGGTCCTCACCTGTACAAGCCCGCAGCCCCTCTCCGGCACAGGTGGCACTTCCAAGTGCTCAGACCATGCGCCGATGGCGGTAAGCAAGAAGCAAAATCGTGGCAACATGGAAAAGGGAGCGGGCGGGAGCCCCTGAAGCTCCAGCCTGAGTTTGAGCCCCGGAAGTTCGCCGTTGGAACGATGTTGCTTGGGGAAGCCATGACAAGGTCGCAGAAGCAGACGGGCAAGTAAAATCCAACCAAACATCTAGTGCAGGTGCTCAATTCCGGAGCACGTCTGGTCTTTTCCTTTCGCACATGGGGCTGCGGGCGGGGCCCGTTCGCCCTGAGTTTAGCCTCTTTCGGCTGCGCTTCGAGGAAGCGGAATTGTGGCTGTACGCACACGAAAGGCACACACGTCCGCACCAATGCCGAACCCTGCTTGTCCACGGACAAGGCTTCGTGGGGTGCGTGATGTGCAGCAGCCGATGTCACTTAGCTCGGCCACATCAAAATTGCAGCAGTAGCTTCTCAGAAATGCAAGGGGAGGCTACTTGAAGGCCTTAGCCAAAACAGAAGATGAGAATGTCTGGGAGGCTACTTCGGAAGACAAAAGGGTCGTACCTGATGTTGTCACGCGGCGGGGTTCCAAATCACATCCCATGTGGGGATGGGGCCATCACCCACCGATGCCATCACTCAGGACGGATGCTGTACAAAAGAACTCAATGTAGATGTAGACTTAGATATGGGGTTTCCAAAATTAGGGGCACCTTATTGGGGTCTCTATTGGAAGGAAATCATACTCTTTGGTAGTCTATATTAAAGTTCCCTTGTTTTCGTCAACCCCCATATGGGTTTACGGGTAGCAGAGCCGTGCCAGACGCACCGCTCGCTCCAAAATTCTTCCCGACAGCACGTGCGCAGGCACAGCACCCGCACATGCTGACATCCCCCCTCACATTCAGCTGCGTTCAGCTCAGCCTCTCCACGATCTCCACGTACTCCTGCCAGGAGCAGATGTCCCAAAAGGGCTTGCCGCTCGTCTCCCTTGTCCACTTCCTTGGCAAAGAGAAGCAACAAAACGATCTTAACCTGCACGAGGGGAACATGAGGCAGAGCTGGCTCAGGGATTTCGAATGCGAGGGCTTCGCGCTGAGCTATGGGCCGGTGCAAGGCGTGGCACATGAAGATGGCGGTCTTGATGTCGGTGATCAGCGAGGTGCCAGCGTCCACGGCGCCCCGGCGGATCCGGAAGCCGTCCGTGAGTGCGTCCGAGTCCATGGAGTCCGGGACATTGATCACCTATCCCACGACGCAACGATGGGTGCAGCACCCCCCCCCCCCCCCCCCCCCAACCCCCCCCCCCCCCCCCCCCCACACACACACACACCCGCACACACGCAACCACACAAACACAAACACTTGCATGCGTGGAGCATCATGGAGCTGAAAAGGAGCAGAACATGGGGTGAGAGGGCCGAAAGCAAGAGAGGACTGGGAGAGTTGAAGTTCGTGCGACCTAAGGAGAACGAATAGCGAAGCCAGGAGCCTGAGAGGTAGGCGAAAGATCACGGAAGATAGCAACTTATCACTAAAGTACTATAGTAACACAGTCATATATTGATATAGCAATATAGCAATATCACAATATCGCAATATAGAAACTCTAGAAATTTATGTAGCAACGTAGTAATATAGTAATCTAGATATGTTATAGTAATATAGCAATAAGAAATTTGGAAATACATATACAAACACAAAAACCATACCACAAATATCTTTATGTTTCAGAGGTAGTATAGTAGTATAGCAATATAGCAATATCGTAATATAGTAAGATAGCAAGACAGCAAGATAGCAATATAGTAATATAGTAATATAGTAATATAGTAATATAGTAATATAGTAATATAGTAATATAGTAATATAGTGATATAGTAATATAGGAATATAGGAATATAGTAATATAGTAATCTAGATATGTTATAGTAATATAGCAATAAGAAATTTGGAAATACATATACAAACACAAAAACCATACCACAAATATCTTTATGTTTCAGAGGTAGTATAGTAGTATAGCAATATAGCAATATCGTAATATAGTAAGATAGCAAGACAGCAAGATAGCAATATAGTAATATAGTAATATAGTAATATAGTAATATAGTGATATAGTAATATAGGAATATAGGAATATAGTAATATAGTAATCTAGTGATATAATACTATAGCAATATAGTAATATAGTAATATAGTCATATAGTCCTATAGTAATATAGCAATATAGTAATATAGTAATATAGTAATATAGTAATATAGTAATATAGTAACATAGTAATATAGTATTATAGTATTATAGTAATATAGTAATATAGTCATATAGTCATATAGTAATATAGTAATATAGTAACATAGTAATATAGTAATATAAGAATATAGTCATATAGTAGTATAGTAATATAGTATTATAGCAATATAGCAATATAGTAATACAGTAATATAGTCATATAGTCATATAGTAAGATAGTAAGATCGTGATATAGTAATATAGGAATAAAGTAATATAGTAATATAGTACTAAGGGTAAGAATCAATAACTTTATGTTTTAGCTACGGCTGAGCTGCCAGGTCGATCTTGCGGCCCTGCAGGAGTGTGGATGCGTTCGGCTCCCGCTTCACCAGCGGCTTGAAGACCATGTTGCTCTTGACGCCCGCACCTGCTGTTAGGTTTAGGGCTTAGGGCTTAGGGCTTAGGGCTTAGGGCTTAGGGCTTAGGGCTTAGGGCTTAGGGCTTAGGGCTTAGGGCTTAGGGCTTAGGGCTTAGGGTTTAGGGTTTAGGGTTTAGGGTTTAGGGTTTAGGGTTTAGGGTTTAGGGTTTCGGGTTTCGGGTTTCGGGTTTAGGGATACTTCTGCTGCGAGTGCAGAGAATGATGGGAACCACGACGAATGACGCCTGCCTGCCAAGTGCTCATGCGTTCCCTTGGTGGTATAGAGGGTGTAGCCTCGGTTCGGCGTTGCGCATGCCGGGCTGCCGGACCCTGCCGAAAAAAACACATGCATATACGGGGGTTGCCGAAAATGGGGGTACCCTTTTTGGGGGTTCCCATAAAAAGGATTACAGTATGTAGGGGTATATTCAGGGGCACCCCTATTTTTTGGGAAATGCCCATATGTGTATACAGGAAATGCATCGGAACCGCATCTGATCTTGGAGTCTGCGCCCAAACAAATCCGCCGAGGTGCCCATCTCCAGAAGCTGCTGCGCTGCCCCAGAGCTCACGAACTCGCTTTTGGCCCAATTGGGGCCCAGGGAGATCAGAATCGCCCTGGCAGGAATCTACGACAACTATGCCACATCATATGGGTGTTTCTCTCAAGTATTGGGGTGCTCTGTTTTTGGGACCCCTACATCATACGACGCCCTTGTAATAAGGACACAGAAAGGGACCCGAGATTTGGAAAACTACGCCCATGTAGCATGCAGATCTACTTTGTAAAGTGTGGCAGGATGGTGTTTTCTCTGAATTTTGAGGGTCATGTTGTGTGAGCACCTAGACCCAAGAGTAACCTAGCAATGAAAAGAGTGCACTTTTGTTGGTTTAAATGTGCTTACAGGGGAAGAATGGCCTACTCTGGGCCCTAGGCATAGTGAGCATAGTGGCTGTGATGGCAGCTTGAAGTTGGCGGCCACCATGCTCTTCAGGAACGCCTCGTGGGCATTCACGCCGAAACCTGGCCGGCTGCCCTAAACCCTAAACCCTAAACCCTAAACCCTAAACCCTAAACCCTAAACCCTAAACCCTAAACCCTAAACCCTAAACCCTAAACCCTAAACCCTAAACCCAGCGCAGCACACAAACTAAACCTACAGCCCACGATGGAACTTGTGCGACTTCGCGAGCCACCAGCAATGCGACTTACCCACATCAGGTCATCGGACGGGGTGTGACCTAGAGGGGCCTGGGTTTGGGGGTTATTCTAAGTGATTCTAGTATGTTCATAAAGGGGCCCTAAGGGAACACTTTTCGAAAATTTTCCGACCCCTTTAGTAATGGTTCATAAGCTTAATTAGGCATTGCCTGTGTCTGTCGTAAACGGACATAGCCGTAGCTTGCCGTCCGAGCTTCAGGCCACCTCACCGGTAGAGGACATCTCCACACCCAGCCGCGGGTCTGAGTTCTTGAGCCGGCCAAAAGAGAACCTGGGGTTTAGGGTTTAGGGTTTAGGGCTTAGGGCTTAGGGGTTAGGGTTTAGGGTTTAGGGTTTAGGGTTTAGGGTTGCTGAGCAGCATCCGCTGGACCGACTGGGGCGTGAATTGTGCGAACATCCGTATACAGCTGCCTTGTTCTTGGATGTGTTGTTGTTTCTTCATTCTGAGTCTTCTTTTTTTTTTTTTTTTTGGGGGGGGGGGGGGTACCCTTCAAAAAGGGACCCTCCATTTAGGCTACTAAACCCTAAACCCTAAACCCTAAACCCTATGGCTCCCCCTCAGCTCTCTCCGAAGGGCATGGGCGCTTTGCAGGCCACGAAGTCGATGTCCATGGGCTGGATGATCGCCGGGCGCACGGGCATGCCCACCATGATGCCTGTGTAGTTGAGAAAACTTAATCCCTGTTCCCCTAGGAAGAAAAAAGGATCCTTTTTGTTCATATATAAGAAAGCCCATAACCCAAAAAGTAAAAAGGATCCCTAACACTGATCTAGAAAAGATATGCCTTGTGGTATAAATCTTAGTTATTGTTGGTATTCTTTGTAGTATTGCTCGTATTGGCATTATTCTTATGACTATTGCTATAAATGAACATTTTCTAATCTTTCTGATTATTATTCAGACTGATTCTCTATACTCCCCTTAGAACCTCAAGAAAATGACATGTTTAATCTCCTCTGGGGGGTTTATATAAACAAAAATAAAAAAAAAACAATTACCAAGGGGGATATAGGTAATACTAAGGGCAAATCCCAATTCTCCGGCGAAGCTGCGGGTCGCGAGCTCGATGAAGTTCACGTTGTAGGTCTTTGAGATGAAAGGCATGGACCGGGAGGCCCGCAAATTGCACTCCTCGGCCGTCCAAGCGTTAGGGTTTATAGGGTTTAGGGTTTAGGGTTTGGGGTTTGGGGTTTGGGGTTTAGGGTTTAGGGTTTAGGAGTGTAGGGCTCAAACAAGCGACACATTCTATTTCTTTACGCATGGCTGAGCGGCAATGACCTTGACCTCGTTGTCCTTGCAGATGAACTGGATGTTGAAGGGCCCCGAAATCTTCAGGGCCTTGCACAACTTCTGAGAGATGCCTCAGCTACTCCGGCCCTCGACACAAAATGCCCTAAACCCTAAACCCTAAACCCTAAACCCTAAACCCTAAACCCTAAACCCTAAACCCTAAGAAAGCATTCTACTGATTTCTAGGAATACAACGGGGAAAACCGCGGCAATGTGCCACTCTCCCCTCAAGGAAGGCTACTTTTCGGGGCTGGCAGGGTCCCTTTGTACTCAAAACCTCAGCCCCAGTCCCCTCAAGAGAATGTCTCCCCCCGAACCCTGAGGTAGGGTTTGTTGTTTTACTGGCACCCCCATAAGGATACCCAATATTCTACTTTCACAAAAAAAAACACTGTTTAAGGATCCATATATACAGTCCCCAATCTGCAGCAACATACCCCACCGTGGTGCTCTTCACTTTGCGGTGTGTCTCCACAAACAGCCGCTGTGCCGGAAGAAGCAAGGATGCATCTCCGCTGTGCACACCCGCGTTCTCAATGTGTTCCGCAATGGCGTAGTTGACGAGCCTCGGCTGGAACAGGGCATGGAAATCATACACTTTGGGGGGGCACCGCAAGTCGGAGATCCATAATGACCTCTGTTTTAGGGTTTAGGGTTTAGGGTTTCGGGTAACTGCATGGCACCAGTATTTTGTGGTGGCATGTGTAGGGGACCCTGTGCAGGCTGATTCCCCAAGCTGCTCGCATCCGAGCCGCTCGCCGGCCTTACCTACCGCATCTAGCTCCACCTCCTTGGCGCCGGAGATGTACTTGGAGATCACCACCTTAGTTGTCCAGCTAAACCTGGGGGGGAATTAATGGTACACCTTTGGGCTTTTTTGGGACTACAATACCCGAAAAAATTAGGCTAATGAAGTTACCTACTCTGCTAGCTAAGCCACAGGGTGGTCGCGGCTGACCACGGCCGCTGTCTTGAGGAAGACCTTCTGTAAACCCTAAACCCTAAACCCTAAACCCTAAACCCTAAGCCCTAAGCCCTAAACCCTAAACCCTAAACCCTAAAAGTCCTCCAGCTCGGAGTCGTTGGTGACCACGCGCATGGCCGCGCCGCTCAGCACGTAGGAGGGCCGGACCAGAACCTTGAGTTTAGGGTTTAGGGTTTAGGGTTTAGGGTTTAGGGTTTAGGGTTTAGGGTTTAGGGTTTAGGGTCTTGGGGACCAACTGAACACGAACATTGGGGGTCATGTACCCTCTGCTAGTATGATTCCGAAACTAAAAGTCCGCTTAAAGCAGGCCCATAAACCCCTTTAAAGGTTCAATAGGGTTCCTTTGCTTTTCAAGGAGCTGGAAAGCCGGCAGCACGGCAGAAGCTGCGGGCCTCGTCCAAGGTTGCGAACTGGGACCACTGCGGCTGGTCAATGTGCAGCTGGTCACAGAGCTGGCTGAACTTCCTTACCAAAGGCACCCTATGACTACTACTATAGTTCCTATTGAATGATGGTATATACTTACAAGAACTACTATAATTCCTATTACATGAGGGTATATACTTATGCTAGAATTCCATTTAAGGTCAGAGCTGGCTGAACTTCCTTACCAAAAGGAACCCTATAACAATGGGGTCATCTACCCCGTACTTCCTACTGGAATTCCAATTTCAACTAAGGCATATACCTATACCATACCATAATTCTTATTTCAGGTGCACATGAACCATAAAAAACCAACCCTTTTAGGGCTCTTTTGGTCCCCAAGGCTCTTGCGGTCCTCGCACGCGTCGATGGCCTCCACGGAGGTGCCCAGGATGCGCACGCCGCAGCGGTGCCTTATACTCCCCTTAGAACCTTAATCAACATAATGCTTTGAATATCCTCTAATATCCTCTTGGGTTTTATATACACAAAAAAATTTTATATCCTCTAATATCCTCTTAGGTCAAACAAAATAAGGTTTTTAATATCCTCTAATATCCTCTTGGGTTTTTTCAGAAACAAAAACACAAAACGATTCCCAAGGGGGATATAGGTGCAGCCCCAGGGCCAAGTTGTTGGGCGTCTGCCCGCCCACGGACACCACCTTGGAAAACATCTGGGGCCACACTCAAGAAGCTCAGATGTAATATATGTGATACGAAAAGTTGAAGGTATCGTTCCTTCTTGGAGATATGCTACATGTACTGCAGAATGTCTCAGGCAACCTTATCGGCGTGCGGCGACAAGCCGTCACAAGCCTGTGGAACATGTGCTGAACATGGCCCGGGCACCACGCCCCGGGGCGTCTCCAGATCTGCGATGTCCATGACGCGCTCGTGGCTGAGCTCCTCGAAATAGAGCCGATCGGACTCGTCGAAGTCCGTCGAGACCGTCTCCGGGTTGCAGTTCACGACCACGGCCCGGTGCCCCAACTTCCGCAGCGTGCGCACGCAGGAGACGCTGCACCAGTCGAACTCCACGCTGCTGCCGATCCTGTAGGGCCCACAGCCAAGCACCACCACCCTGGACTCCTCCGCCTTCGTCGTGTGCGCCTGGCCGGGTGTGGCATGCAGCGTCGCGGGCTCCGGGATGGATGGCTGCAGCGGTTGCAGTGGCAGGTGGGGTGACAGGTCGTCCAGGTCTGCGAACATCTTGCTCCCGGGCAGCTCCACGTCGTGCTCCTCCCCACTGTAGGTCAGATACAGGTAGTTCGTCTCCGCCGGGAACTCTGCCGCCAGCGTGTCGATCTGCTTGACCTTGGGCACGATGCCTGCGCTCCTCCGCAAGTACCGGACGTGTGCCTCCGTGACTGCGCCGCCGGTGTAGCGACTGGCCCCGAAATCTGCTGGCAGCAGCTTGGGGGACATCTCCATGTGCACCAACGCCGGAGCACAAATCAATGCTGCAATCTGTCGGTCCGAGAAGCCGCGGCACTTGGCCTAAGGCACGCAGAGTTGTCTTCTTTTCTCTGTTTGTCTGTGCTCTATGTCTGTCTCTGTGTCTCTGTCTCTCTCTCGCTCTCTCTCTCTCTCTCTCCTCTGTCTCTTCTCTCTCTCTTTCTCTGTCTCTTCTTTCTCTTCTCGTTCTCAATCTCGCTTACATGAGTATTCTTCTTGATTCTTGCCTTTATTCATGAAATGTTGCTACTCATGTTTCGTCTTATTCGTTTTCTTTTCGTATTGTTATTCTTCTTCTGCTTCTTCTTGTTCTCATTATTGCTCTTCTTTTTTTGTTCTTCTTCTTCTTCTTCTTCGTCTTTTGCTTCTTGCGCTGCGCCCCTTGAAAGGCTACGCCAACACGAAAACACACCGGCCTCCCGCAGCAGAGCCGGCTGGTCCTTGAGGTCGTAGTAGTCCATGCGCCGCATTGCCACCTTGAGCTGGTGGAGGCCGTGGAGCTTGGCGAGGAACCAGCGGTCGATGCTGGTGAGGCGGTGGACGTCGGATACGTCCATGCCCAGCTCGAAGGCCTTTGCCACGGCCCAAAGCCGCACAGGGGTAGGGTTGCTGAGCTCCTTCTGCACTTCCCTCTCCAGCTCGGGCCCCGAGGTGCTGACACCCCGCCGGTCCAGCTCGATCTCAAAGCGCGCCGGATCGAAGCCCGGGCTCGCCTCGTCGACCATGCGCAGGGCCTTCTGGATGGTCTCCTCAAACCAGGACGGGCTATCGTACCCTTTTTCCCCTTAAAAAGGCCCTTTATCGGGTTGATTTCTGGGGCGTATGGGGCCTACAAAAATGGCCCATCCTCAAAGGTCCGGCCGATGGCCATGACCTCCCCGACGCTCTGCATGGCCGAGCCGATGCGGGCATCCACAGTGGAGAACTTCTGGAGGTCCCAGCGGGGCACCTTGGCCACCACATAGTCCAGGGACGGCTCGAAGCAGGCGGTGGTGCAGCGCGTCACGCTGTTCCGAAGCTGGCCAGGGAGGTGCGGGAGTGCTTTTTTTTTTTTTTATCAGGGTGTTCGGATTTGGGTTTGGGGCTTTGAGGATCTGTGTCATTACCAGGCAAGTGGCCGCGGGGTGGAGTCTCCGGCATCCCTCCCTAAACATACCTCATAGAATAATCAACGTCTTCACACAACACATCAGAACCAAAACCGCCCCACTCACACGATTTCACCCTCGGGCCTGTGCCAGGTCGTGTCCCAGCGCCAGCTTGGCAGCCACGTAGGCCAAGGGATAGCCCGTGGCCTTGGAAGCCAAAGCGCTGCTGCGCGAGAGCCGGGCGTTGACCTCGATGATCCTGAACCTGGGGGACCAAAGGAACCCTAAAAGGGGTAGGGGTTCATATCCTACCTTAATATGACTTACATTATAATTTAGGGTCTTTAGGGTTCATGTGGTGTCCCCAGGGAACTGGGAGCTCTTGGGGTCCACGGCGTACTGGATGTTGCACTCGCCCACGATGCCCAGGTGCCGGATGATCTTCAGGGCGCACTGCCGGAGCCGGTAGTACTCCTCGTTGTTCAGCGTCTGCGAGGGCGCGATGACGATGGACTCGCCGGTGTGGATGCCCATGGGGTCCAAGTTTTCCATGTTGCACACGGTGATGCAGTTGTCGTTTTTGTCCCGCACCACCTCGTACTCCAGCTCCTTCCAGCCCTTCAGGGACTTGTCGATGATGACCTGCGGGCTGTTCACCAGCGCCACGGTCACCAGCTTGCGCAGCTCGTTCTCGTTGTCGGCGAAGCCGCTGCCCAGGCCCCCAAGGGCAAAGGCCGCCCGCACAAGCACCGGGTAGCCAATCTGCTCCGCGGCGCGGATGGCCTGCAGCACCGAGTCGCAGCAGCAGCTCTCGGCAATCCGCTCCCCGCAGGCGTCCACGACCTGGCTGAAGAGGTCCCGGTCCTCGGTCTTGATGATGGCCTCGATGGGGGTGCCCAGCACCTGCACGTTGAAGCGCTCGAAGACCTTCTGCTCGTGGAGCCGCACGGCGCAGTTCAGGGCCGTCTGGCCGCCAAAGGACACGAAGATGCCGTCCGGCCGCTCCCGGTCGATGACCTTGGTCACGAACTCGGGGGTCACGGGGAGGAAGTAAACACGGTCCGCCATGCCCGCCGACGTCTGCACGGTGGCGATGTTGGGGTTCATCAGCACGGACATGATACCTTGGTACCCCAGTAACCACAATATTTTATTAAGGGCACCCTCTTTTGGTCGGTTAATTTATAAGGGAACCTTGAACCAAAAAAAAGGGGAAAAGGGTACCACTGGGCTACCATGATACCAGCCTCCTTGAGAGCCTTCAGGGCCTGGCTGCCCGAGTAGTCAAACTCCCCTGCCTGGCCAATCGTCAGGCCGCCGGAGCCCAGCACCAGCACCTTCAGGGTTTAGGGTTTAGGGTGTAGGGTCTTCTTCTGGCTGGCTCTTGGGAAGGAATGCGGGGAATGAGGTACCTATATGCTCCTTAAAGGGTATTCTTTAAGGCCCGAATTCCCTCATTCCCTACTATAAGAACCGGGGGGCCTTGCGGTAGCTCAGCGGAATGGAGTAGGGAATGGTCGTCACGGCCGTGGCCCCCGGCTCTTCGATGAACTGCAGGAACTGCTTGAAGAGGAAGTCCGTGTCCATGGGCCCGCCACAGGCCTCGGCACCCCCAGCCCCACACTTGTCAAAACTTGCCCCTTCAGCTCCTACATAGGCAATGCTCTCATGTGCTGACAGGAATGGTGCGGATGGGATCGGACAGGGTTATACTTCAAAATCTGTGCTTGCGCTTGCTCCCGGCCTCGGGGTGGAACTGGACGGAGAACCAGGGCCGCGAGCTGTGGACGATGCCTTCGTTGGTGCCATCGTTGGCATTCACCATCAAGGGCACCCAGCCTGCTGGCAGGGACTGGGCGTCCACCGCGAAGCCGTGGTTCTGCGCGGTGATGTAGCAGCGCTGCGTGCGGAGGTCCACAACCGGCTGGTTCATGCCACGGTTGCCGAACTTCATCTTGAAGGTGCGTGCCCCTGCCGCCAAGGCCAAGATCTGGTTTCCCAGGCAGATGCCGAAGATCTTAGAGTCATGAAAGCACCATAGAAGGCCCACAAAGCTGGGGGGGGGGGAGCAACAATGCATCGGTCACCCATCACATGATCTATTAGGGTTACGGTTTGGGGTGAGCCAGTGCAGCAGAGGCACGGGCGTGTTGGGCCGCTCCTGCATCACCTGCCTCACGTGCTGGATGGTCTGCGTGCACTTGCTGGGATCACCGGGCCCATTGCTGAGGAAGAGGCCATCAAAGCTCTCCTGGGTAAAGTCGTGATCCCAAGGCACCACTGTGAGCCGAACACCAAGCCCCACCAAACAGCGGATGATGTTGTTCTTCATACCGCAGTCCACGGCCACGATGTGCACATCCTTGCGATCACCAGGATCGCTGAGGGCGAAGGTTTGCTTCCGAGGCCGCGACACCTCGGCCACCAGGTTTCGTACGTTGGGGTCCTCGAAGGGGATGGCGCTGGGGTGGCTGTCCTGGCTGCCTTGCACCAGCACCCTGCCCAACATGGCGCCCTCCTGGCGGATGATCTTGGTGATCATGCGCGTGTCCACACCATAGATGCCAGGGATCCCCTGGCTGTTCAGCCAGTCCCCGAGCGTGCGAACACAGGAATAGTGGGAAGGCTCATAGGAGTAGTCCGAGATGACCACGGCCTTCACCCTAAACCCTAAACCCTAAATCCTAAACCCTAAACCCTAAGCTCTAAACCCGACCCTAACCCTAAACGGGCCTTCACATGGATGCGGTCACTTTCGAACCACCGGGACAGGCCCAGGTCATCCGGCTCGTCACCAGGGATCCCGTAGTTTCCGACGAGGGGGTAGGTGAAGACCAGAATCTGGCCTGCGTAGGACCTCAGGGGCTGAATACCCTAGCCCACAAAAGGTTCAACCATTTATTCGAAATTTGATTTTCTATCTATATACTAAAAAAACAATATATATATATATAATAACCAGAAAGGTTAAAGGTTAACTACCCTGCCGCTAAGGGACGGGTCCGTGAGGGATTCAGGGTAGGCCACCATGCCCGTGTTGAAGACCACCTCTCCGGTAAACCCTAAACCCTAAACCCTAAACCCTAAACCCTAAACCCTAAACCCTAAACCCTAAACCCTAAACCCTAAACCCTAAACCCTATAAACCTTAAACCCTAAACCCTCAGCCAGTGTTGAAGACCACCTCGCCGGAGACGGACACGGGGGCTCCGAAGGAGAAGCCTTACTTGGAGGTTCATGGTACTTATGAACCAATTGTAACATGGCTATAAGTACAGGTTAGGGTTGAGGGTTTAGGGTCTAGGGTCTAGGGTTTAGGGTTTAGGATTTAGGGTTTAGGGTTTGCTGTGATAGGGCGTAGGTGCTCTGAACAAGTGGAGGGCCATCTAACACTTTTCTCCCACCCCACGCCGTCCGAGGCGGCAAAGCCACCCAAACCTATTCCTTTTAGGGTTTAGGCCTAAACTCAAGGCAACAGTCCACCTCTAAAAACGTCTGCAGTTTCATGACGTTCGGGGTTGGGTCCGAGAGTCAAAGGAACGGTCGGGGGGTCGGGGGTCCCAGGGGTCCCGGGCAGGCCCCTAAGCCCTAATAGGCCGTAAGCCCTAAGCCCAAACCCCAAACCCCAAGCCCTAACCCTCAACCCTCAACCCTCAACCCTCAACCCTAAACCCTAAACCCTAAACCCTAAACCCTAAACCCTAAACCCTAAACCCTAAACCCTAAACAAAGCCAAGGGGCCGGTCAAAGCTGTCCCTGCACTCAACTCCAGGGTCGCTTGGCGGCGGGCGGTCAGCCATTTCTGGAGGTCGCCGGCCTTAGGGTTTAGGGTTTAGGGTTTAGGGTTTAGGGTTTAGGGTTTAGGGCTTAGGGCTTAGGGCTTAGGGCTTAGGGCTTAGGGAGTTTGAGGTTTGGGGTTTGAAGGTTAACGGTTTAGGGCTTGAATGTTAGAGGTCTCATTGCTCACACTCGGACAAAACCAGGCGAGGCATTCAGTCAGCAGTCTCTCTTGCATAGCACTCTGAGGCTCAGGTGATATAAACCCTACACCCTAAAACCCTAAACCCTAAACCCTAAACCCTAAACCCTAAACCCTGAACGATACACTCGGCTGGCACTAATTAGTCGTACTCAACCTTCATACCGGCCTCTCAGCCCAGCTCCACAACAACAGACAGTTTAGGGTTTAGGGTTGAGGGTTTAGGCTTAGAGGGGTTTAGGGTTTAGGGTTTGGGGTTTAGGGTTGGTTCTTTAGGGTTTAGGGTTGGATTTTTATAGGGTTTAGGGTTGAGTATTTAGGGGTTTTTGCCACCCGACTACCCACAGCAACGTGGGTTTAGGGTTTGGGTCCTTTGCTCCTCCATAACTCAGGCCAGGGCGTCGCAAGGCTTCTCATCCAATGGCTCCGGCACATCAACGTCATGCGCATCCCAAGCTGTGGCCGCCATTGCCTCGCACAAGCGACTCCCTACTAAACCCTAAACCCTAAACCCTAAACCCTAAGCCCTAAACCCTAAACCCTAAACCCTAAACCCTAAACCCTAAACCCTAAACCCTAAACCCTAAGCCCTAAGCCCTAAACCCTAAACCCTAAACCGCGTCGCACAGCTCGTATACAGTAGACTCCATCGGGCCTTGCACAAGATGTCGGGAGTAGCAGCAAGCTCCACTGCTGCACAAAATGAGTTGAGCACAAGTGGCTGCGAGCATCAGGGCACTGTGCATAGGACTTGGGTGCAAATAGCACATGTCTTCCATCGTCTCCTTGTTCCCCCCAAAGAAGAGCCCAAAGAAAGCCGTGTTTGTCTCTGAAAAGCTAGCTTTCCATGTAAGCTCTTTGTGTCAGATGGTTAAACCCAACATCCCAGAGGGTCCATTTGTAGTACTATTATGGAATTAGGTACGGACCCTCTGGGCATGTAACATGTGGCTATCACCTGCAGTCGCGTAACGGCGAAACTGCTGCAAGAATCCTGGAGCGTGGCAAAGCTGCGCGATCTCAATGCAAAGTTCGCTGGAAATGAAAACCCTAAACCCTAAACCCTAAACCCTAAACCCTAAACCCTAAACCCTAAACCCTAAACCCTAAACCCTAAACCGAGATTGAGAGTCTGATCCGCGATTTTCGCCTGAAAGCGATGAAGGCGTCGACTGAGAGCATTTGCGGCCCTTTTGGCTGCCTGACCACTCACCACTGGAGAAGACCTCATCGCCTGCCACAAAGCAAACAAGTTGTCAGAAAGGCTGGCTGCTCCCTTAGTTGTCCTGTAACCTGGGGGAACTAAATGTTCACCTTTGGGACTTTTATAGGGATTCGAATACCCCAAGAAGGTTTAAAAAAGGTCACTACTATAAAAAGGTTATAAAGGTTACCTACTCTACTAGTATAACCCCAAACCCTAAACCCTAAACCCTAAACCCTAAACCCTAAACCCTAAACCCTAAACCCTAAACCCTAAACCCTAAACCCTAAGCTCCTGCAATTCGAGGCTCTTCCGAGACAGCTGAAACTCCTGGCGGGGAGGGGCCTGGAAGTCGTGCCAGCGGGAGAAACTTCTCCTCCTTCAAGCAACTCGTGGGCTCATTTAGGGTTTAGGGTTTAGGGTTTAGGGTTTAGGGTTTAGGGTTTAGGGTTTAGGGTTTAGGGCTTAGGGTTTAGGGTTTAGGGTTTAGGGCTTAGGGCTTAGGGTTTTTGTGCGGTGGGCTTCGAACCTCGGTCTGCTGAAGTTTCCGAGGGGCTCCTTGGTTCTCCGCCTTTGAAAATACTTTTTCTGACGTCCTGACATCCTTGCACTCCTACTTGAAGGTGTTAGGGTTCAGGGTTTAGGGTTTAGGGTTTAGGGTTTAAGGTTTAGGGTTTTGGGGTGTAGGACGAGAAGGTTCATGGCTACTTAGAAGTAGGGTTCTAAGCGCCCTAAATAAGGTCATAGCCATGGCTACCCTAGTTATCACCTTACTTCTAAGTACCCCTGAGCCTCCACATTTTGGGAAAGAGGGCCTTCGGTACCGCAGATAATTCCTCACGAAAGGAAACCTACTTCCCTGACTGCACATCCTCAAGCCAATCACAAACCTTCCTCCGCATCAACATGCCCAAGCCCAACGCCTCCCGCCCCAACCTACTCTCACCTTGGGGGCCACATGAACCCCAAAAAAGTCTACGGTTCACGTGCCTTCATCGTAGTGTAGGGGATATGGCCCAAATTTTAGGCTTCATGTGGCCCCCAGGGCACGTACAGCCTCACCGAGTCCCGACGGTCCGTGAGTGATTTTGGCGGCGGCGAAGATTCAATGTCCCGCAACTGTGACGAGGAGCTGGCAGAACCTCTGCCGCTTGTTTCGGGCGAGCTGTTGTGTGTAGGGTTTAAGGTTTAGGATTTAGGGTTCAGGGTTCGGGCTTCATGGTTCCAGTGAGGGCTTGGAATTGCGTCCAGAATCCCCAGTCAGGCCATGCTGCTCGGCCCATGTCTCCAAAAATCATGGTCCCTTTCTTGGAATATCGCGCCCGAAATTGAAATAGTAGGAGGGGGTATAGCGCTCAAAAAGGGGCCATGATTTTTAGGGAGCCACCTATATAAACCCTATGAACCCTATAAGCCCGATAAACCCTATAAACCCTATAAACCCGATAATTCCTATAAACCCTATAAACCCTATAAACCCGAAAAACCCTATAAACCCTGTAAACCCTATAAACCCTATAAACCCTGTAAAATACATCATCCCTCCGCGCTCAACTTGTCGCCTTTTTGGCGCTGGCATCCACCCTCTTCGGAGTGAAACTTCCTTGTGCTTGGAGGTTCATGGTACTTATTAACCATTTACAACTGTACTTATAAGCCACTTATGAGCCCCTTAAGTGCCCTGATATGGTTGTAAAGTTCTGTTGTTAAGTACAATTGTAATTGGATAATAAGGACCATGAACCTCCAAGTGTGGTCAAGTCAGTGCCACACCTGCTGCTCTTGTTAAGCAAGGGACAGTGCATGACTTACAAAACGGATTCCTGATGCAAGTGCTACGACCGCTTTAGGTCAATTAGGAAGAAAACAGGGCCGACCGTTGAAAAGCATCCACGACGCAAAAGTACGACTTGCTGCAACGCATCACAGAACCCAAAACCCTAAACCCAAATTTACGGTGTTCAAGTGGTAAAGAACCATTTGCTTCGCTTAATCACACCAGCTTACACTGAATGCCGGCACCGCAAGAACAAAGTCGGCCTTGCAAGAATACATGGCCAAGTCTGGAAAATTATGGTCCCTTTTTACCTGCTGCTACTGAAAACATCGGGCCCTTGCGCAATCTTCTCCAAACACCCCCTAAACCCTAAACCCTAAACCCTAAACCCTCAACCCTAAACCCCAAGAAAAGGGATCATAATTTCGAGGGCTGGCCTCAAGTCAGTACAGGCTCATCAGTCATTTCATTGGCTTACTGGCCTGGGTTGGCAACATCCTGAAAAATATTTATATATAGGGCCCCTTATAAACCCTAAGCCCTAAACCCTGAACCCGAAACCCTAAACTCTAATTAAGCCCTAAAAGGTCCCAAAAATCCCACCGAGTGGCAGGTGTCTTGGCCCAGGTCTCCCTTCGTCAGCGCCGGCTGGATCAGGTGAAGCTTCTCTTGGAGGTTCGCGCGCGTCAGGTTCCTGGGATGGCCCCCCTGAAAAAAACTCGGAAAAGATATATTCCTGAATATGGGTTTAGGGTTTAGGGTTTAGGGTTTAGGGTTTAGGGTTTAGGGTTTAGGGTTTAGGGTTTAGGGTTTAGGGTTTAGGGTTTACGGTTTAGGGTCTAGGGTTGAGGGTCCCCTTAAACCCACTAAAGGGAAAATATAAAAAAAGCGTCCCGAGGGCCTGCCTAGGTTCTGCATGGGCTCGCCATCCAACTTCGTGAACTCCCCCCGAACCTATAATGAACTTGGAACCCCAGCAAAACAATGATGTTTTCTTGCTGCTTCTTAGGAAATAACAAACTCTTTTTTGCACTAAACCCTAAACCCTAAACCCTTTTTTCTAAACCCTAAACCCTAAAGCCCTAAACCCAAAACTAAAAAAGTATTTCCAAGTGCCCCCCAACAAGGAACTTCCACCAGCTCCCGCATGGCCTGGCGCAGAGCCTTCATCTTCGGGTGGTTCTCGGGATCCCACTTCTTCTTCCGGTCCTTGGTCGGGGGGTTTTGGGTTTAGGGTTTAGGGTTTAGGGTTGGGGATCCTACCTTGGACCCTTAAGGTTGTACCCTTGGGTTTTGGGGTCCCTTTTTCAGGAGCCCTAAAGGGGGAACCACTTCTTCCGGTCCTTGGTACAGCCCAGCAAACCAGATGATCATAAGGGCGCCTCGTTGTCTTGTTTTTTTTTTGTTTTGCCTTTGGAGGTTCTTGGTGCTTATTCACCAATTACAACTGTACTTTTCACCCACTTATAAGCTAGTATGGTTATAAGTACAGATAAAGTACAGCTATAATTGGTTCATAAGTATCATGAACCTCCAAGTATACCAAGAAAAAAGGGAAAAGGGCACCCACCGGTCTGCGGCAGATTTGGGGCAAAGTGCCCTCAACCCTCAACCCTAAAACCCTTTTGCCTTAAACCCTAAACCCTAAACCCTAAACCCTAAACCCTAAACCCTAAACCCTAAACCCTAAACCCTAAACCCTAAACCCTGCCACCCAGGGTCCCTGGCCAGCTCCCCCAACTGCTCGTGCTCCTCACGTTCTGCCGCACTGGCTTCCTCGAGCCGCCTCTTGTAGATGGGCAGGACCTCCCTGGACCTTGGTTGGGCCAGGTTTAGGGTTTAGGGTTTAGGGTTTGGGGTTTAGGGTTTGGGGTTTGGGGTTTGGGGTTTACTCGGCGCTGTCTCTGAGCAACTGAGGTTTGGGGTTCTTTTTGTTGCCACCCGCCTAGCTGACACTCCGGCCACGTTGCAGGGACTAGTTCCGGAAACATTGTGTCGTTATGGTGTAGGAGAAATGCCTTTGAAGCCAGCATTTAAGGGGGGGAGTACGGATCAAACGGGGATCATTGTTTTTGGGGTTTAGAGTTCAGGGTTTGGGGTTTCGGGTTGGCCCCTCCAAACCTCTGCAGATCTTTCTGAATATGATCCTGAACAATGTTCTTAAGCAAGGGGTACACTTCCTTGGGTTGGCTACTTTCTAAGGAAACCTTGAACCAAGACCTAGCTGCTGAGTCCAAAAAAAGGGTTAGCCTTCCAACTGTGGTATAGGCTTGCCAAAAGGTTAAAGACAATCTACTCAGCTACTAACCCTAAACCCTAAACCCTAAACCCTAAACCCTAAACCCTAAACCCTAAGCCTAAACCCTAAACCCTAAACCCTAAACCCCAAACCCCAAACCCTAAACCCTAAACCCTGAAACAAACCAAAAAAAGTACCCACTGGGCCACCCAGTGACACGAAAGTCAATGTTGGGAAGCCCGGGACTTGCAACCCGGACATGCGGATCTGGGCTTCTGCCTGACTTCTCCAAGGGTTTAGGGTTTAGGGTTTAGGGTTTAGGGTTTAGGGTTTAGGAGATAGCAAAGGTTGAACATTGATGCGTTCCTACGACGTCCTACACAATTTAGGAAACCCAGGAAACCCAAAAGGAACACTTTACTGCAAATTAGGAAACCTAAAACAGGGTCTTCCTACTAACTTAGACTAGGAAACCAAAAACAGGCAATTCCTACTATACTGGGAAACCCAAAACGGTTCAAAGTCCAACTCTTGGCGAAGGAAGCTGCAAGCAAAAGCCCATCGCGGGTGCCGAGCAGGTCAAGCTCAACGTTCGCCGCGTTCGTGTCGTTCTGCACCGGTTGCACCTCGGTTTTGCCATGGCTGCCCTAGACCCTAAACCCTAAACCCTAAACCCTAAACCCTAAACCCTAAACCCTAAGCAGATGATCCTCGTAAGCCCAAGAATGGTGCGAAGAACAACTCTCCCAAGGGCCGGCCCAGGGCACAAACTCGCAATCCACACCAAATCCGTCTAGCGCTGCCGAGCACAGCTTCACGAACTCCACCTCCCGGCCATTGATCGCAGCCCAGTCGGCCAGCACGATGGTGGCGGGGACTCGGGTCATACCTGCACTGAACTTGGAGACCCCAGCGAGGAATTCTCGCACTCAAGAGCTAAAAACTGCATTTTGTTTGCTGCTTCTTAGGAATTATAGTACCCTAAACCCTAAACCCTAAGCCCTAAACACGTTAAACAAAAAAAAACATATTCCCAAGTGCCCCCAAGAGACTCTCGCCGCTGGCGCAGGACACGGCGATGCCCGAGCCCCAGGATGCAATCTGATTGACGGCTGAGAACATCCTGGGGATGGCCACCCCTAAAAACACCCTTTTTTGGGGGGTTTAGGGTTTAGGGTTTAGGGTTTAGGGTTTAGGGTTTAGGGTTTAGGGTTATACTCCCAAACATGACCCTCTGAAACCCACTAAAAGGAAAAATATATAAAAAAAAAGACTCCCAAGGGCCCAACCCGAGCTTCCCGGTGGCACTGGAGCCGCAGAGAGTGGGGAGGTTGAGCAAGTCCTAGCTCATTGTTGAGAGAATATGAAAAATTCACATTCTTATTCCCTATTGGGTATAAGTACCCTTAAGAATGTAAAATGTTACCCTAAACCCTAAACCCTAAACCCTAAACCCTAAACCCTAAACCCTAAACCCTAAACCCTCAACTATGACAAAGAGTCGGGGCAGTGGCTGACCAGCTGCTCGACGAACGTGGCGATCTGAGTGATCCAGGCCTAGGAAGTTCATTTTGTTGGGAAGAGTAAGATGGTTGGGAAGAGTACGAAGAAATCTAAATGTCTATTCCTTCTTGAGTCATACACCCTAAATGTCTATTCCTTATTGAGTCTTACGTGCCCTTAAAAAGTTGCAGTAAACTGCCCCCCCCCCCCTCCCACTATGAAATGTCTATTGCTTGTTGAATTTTAAGTGCCCTTAAACATGTAAAAACATGTTATCCCTAAACCCCAAACCCTAAACCCTAAACCTCCACTAAAAAAGGACAAAGAGGCGATGGCACCCGCAATGTCCATGGCGCAGGCCGCCTCGGGGACCCCGGTGAGGTAGTTGTACGGCCCGTAGCGGACGTTCTTGCCTAGAGTTTAGGGTTTAGGGTTTAGGATTTAGGGTTGAGGGTTTAGGGTTGAGGGTTTAGGGTTTAGGGTTTAGGGCTGGACCCAGGAGTAACCTAGGAATAAAAAGGGTAGCCTTTTTGGTGTTACGGGAATTATGAGGGAACCCCAACTCGAAAAAAAGGAACTAAGGGCCTACTCTGGGTCCTAGTTGCTGCAGTAGTCGAGGTTGGCTGCTTGCTGGATGAAGAAGATCGAGTCATAGATGTTGTCCACAATGAAGCCCACATCCACAGCGCACTGAACTCCCATGCCACCAATGCCTAGTTCATGGTGGGGATCGCTTTAAAAACTTAACTTTTTATTCCTTATTGGGTTGAAGTACCCTTAAAAATGTAAAATGATACCCAACTATGACCAAGATGCCGCTGCCGATGAAGAGGCGGCGCCCCGGCTGGCGCCCTGCCAGCGACATCCGGGTCCCAGGAGTCTGTACGCAGTCATCGTCGATGCAGAGCCTTTCAGCCTGCCGAAATCCTGCCAAGGGATACTCCTTGCCTTAGTTGTCCGGTAAGCTGGGGGGAACTAAAGGTGAATCTGGGATTTTAAGTAGGGATTCGAATACCCCAAAAAGGTTATGAAGGTTACCTACTTTACTACTGAGCTGCAAGATGTCATGGCCAGACTCGCGCTCGCTGCAATCTCACCAAGAGCACTCACGATGCCGTTGACCGCGGCTCCACACTCTGCGCTGGCGCTGGGAAGGACACCACAAGAGGAGACCGCATTGGATAGCCATGTTGCGGCACTTCCCACCATTTCGGCCAGGGTCTCAGAGTTCACGGCGCAGGAGAACTCGCCGACATCGTTGCGTGGCTCAGGGCATGTGTGTACAATGGCTTCCTTGGTAGCCCAGGAACCATATTACAACAAGGGCACCCCCTTTTTTTGGTTGGCTACTTTATAGGGGAACCTTGAACCCCCCCCCCCCCCCCCAAAAAAAAAAAAAAAACAAACAAAAAAAGGAAAAGGGCACTCATGGGCTACCAAGCTTCGATATCGATGGCCGAGCCACCGATGCTGTCAATCGTCTCCACCGCGTTGAAGACGCAGAAAGCTTGGCGGAAGTTCTGCTGCTGCTTGAGATCCTTCGTTGCCGAGTTCACAAGCCCCCAAAAAAGTGTACACGTTCAGTTCTATAGGGGATTAGAGTATCCCAAAAAGTGTAACGTGTACTCACTCAGCAAGTAAGGATCGGGGTCTCGGATGCCGACATAGGAGTTGGCGTTGCCCCTGGCCTGCGCATCCAAGACCTTGCTTGGAGGTTCATGGTACTTACTAACCAATTCTAACTGTACTTATAACCTTCGTAGAAGCCCCTGAAGTGCCCTAATATGGTTATGAGTACAGTGAGAAAGCCTAAACCCTAAACCCTAAACCCTAAACCCTAAACCCTAAAACGGACCTTGGCGTCTTTGTAGAGCTCCGCGTTCTGAAAGTGGAAGTAGGGGTTCGGTGTTGCAAGGGATCGGAAGTCTGGGGGCAATTGTGCCAGCCTTAGGTTGCCCAGTAACCTGGGGGATTTCAAGGTTTAGGGTTTAGGGTTTAAGGTTTAGGGTTTAGGGTTTAGGGTTTAGGGTTTAGGGTTTAGGGTTATTCTATTGGGACTAGGACATCCCTCAAAAAATGCTACAAGGCTACCGACTCTTCTACCAAGCAGCTTGTGGTGCTTGCTCTCCGCCTTGGCTGCCTCCAAGGCCCGAGCCACCATCTTGTCCGCCTCAGCCTTCGATTTCACATCACGGAGTGTCCTCGCTGCGGACTCGATCCTTACGGTTGTGGGGGAAGAAGGTATCAGAAAGAATTCCCTTAAAGGGTATTATGTAGGGCATTCTAGGGGGGGATGTAGGGTACCTCATTCCCGGATTTCCCCTACTAAGCAAGAGTAAGGATCTGGGTCTCTTCAGACAGCTGTAGAGGGGACGCCTTGAAGAGGTAACGCATCTGGCACGGGGCGGCCACGAAGAGCATCGTGGCACCAAGGGCGAAGGTGGCTAAGGAGACGCCGGCAACCTTCCAGCGGCACACGCGTGAGGTCTGAACCGCGGGTTGCGCGACCAGCTCTTGCCCAAACATCGCATCCTCGGGATCCTCTGCTAGCACGGCCATGGCCCAATCGCGCGCCCCAGCTCCCGCATCCGTTGGTACTTGCCCGTATTCCATGGCTCCGGCCAACAAACAGCCCACCTACCTGATCCAGCACACGTCCACTTGACGTAGCTTCAGCCGAAGCGCAGCATGATCCATCCTTGTTGCGTTTCCCTGCCACCAGCTCCTCTTCTGACTTCGCTCTCTTGCTTGGGGGCCAAATGAACCCTAAAAGGGTTTATGGTCCATATACCTTCAAATAGGATTACTAGTAGTGTAGGGCATATGGCCCCATTTTTTGGGGTTCATTTCGTCCCCAAAGTTCTGCAGAAAAAAAGATCAAGGGCCTTCGGACTTCATCCGCGAGGAGCGGAGAAGGGCCGCGGGGCTCAGCGACTGGGCCGGCTCAGGGATTTTTGTTCAGATTTGGGCTGGAAAGCTCTTTCTCCCCCAAAATTCTTGTGTCTAGGTTTAGAAGGGTTTTGGAGATGCCTTTTTTGGTGTCGTTTAGGCTTGAGGGGGTTTAGGGTTGAGGGGGAGTTAGAAAAGAAGGGCACCCTAAACCCTAAACCCTAAACCCTAACCCTAAACCGGGGTTGGGGGTAACCACGTCGCTCTCGTCTTCGATGCTTCATTCTGCTCGGTACTACATCATCACAGTCAGTGCTACCCTAAACCCTAAACCCTAAACCCTAAACCCTAAACCCTGAACCCTAAACCCTAAACCCTAAACGACTGGAATCAGAGTGGGCCCGGAGTAGGCTCACTTCTGTTGGTTGCACCCCCTTCGCACATGATTGTTGACAGCTACCACAGTTAGGGATCGTCTGATTCCAGATTAGATGCAGTAATCCAGGCACACTTGTGAGACTTTGTCCATTGGTTGATTGTGATGAAAATCTGAGGCAGTCACCCGAAACCTTAAACAGCCTCCCTTGCTGTCTGTAAGCTTCGCACTCGTCGCAGGCCGCCTGTCACAACTCAAGCAACAAGCCCAAAGCCGAGGACTCTGCGCGCCCTTCGTCTAATGATTCTGCTATCGACAGGAAGCTTCGAACACATTACGTCCGACGGCGGAATGAACGTTGTTTAGGTTAGGCGCTTTGCCGCGTATTCTGGAGCCTGCCTCAAAGGTACCCGGAAACCGAGCGGTTTAGTCTTCCTGGTTTTCCTCCAAACTCTGTGACTGTTGGGCATCGGGGCCTTCAGAGCTTGGGGACCAAAAGGGCGAATAGGAGCAGGAGTCTTGGAAAGGGTGACAGAACGCGGATTCGAATCCATGTGAGTGAGGCTCGAAATCTACCTTGGTTCATGGGGACCGTACATGGCTTATGGTGCTCTGCTCCACTCCCGTCGCCCAAAGGTGAGTTTTTTGAGATCTTGAAACCCTAAATCTTGAAATCTTGAAATCTTAAACACTAAACCCTGAACCCTAAACCCCGAACCCTAAACCCTAAACCCTGAAGCCTAAACCCTAAACCCTAAACCCGAAACCCTACTCTCGGATTGCAACAAAAAAGGCCAAGGCTTGGGCTCAGAGCGAAGGAGGAGAGCCGCCCACGCGCCGGCCTCGCCACATACGGAGGCTTGGTATAAGGGAGAGGGTAGGGTCTAGCCGTAAACCCTAAACCGAACCCTAAACCCATCGAGCCTTAGGGCACAGGGTCTGGGGGGGCTGTTCGCAATGTGAGTGAGGGCGCCCCTGTTACAATCTTTTTCAAAAGGGGTTCCCTACCCTAAACCCTAATCCTAACCCCACAAGGGCACCCTGCTCATTCTTCATATTGGGTGCTTGTCAAAATTATGATCCCTTTTTGGATCCCAATTATAATACCTCACCTAATATTTAGGGTACCTCCAAAAGGGATCATAATTTTGACAACCTCCCATATCCGAAATACCATGCTGGCTATGGCTCTTATCTTCCAAAGACCTTGAATCTGGCTCATATCCCAGATGCCTTTCTCTCTCTCTCTCTCTCTCTCTCTCTCTCTCAGGCAAGGCAGCTCCAAGCTCCGTCTCGCAGAGATGCCTTCGGTGGCCACTTAAGGCACACTTCGCGGAAAACACATGGACGCGGGATACAGATGCTGACTTCCAAATCACGAGCGCCCGCGACCCGGGCCAGAAAACTGACCTTACAATGCGCACATCCGTGCTGTTTGTGGCTCATGTCCCAAATTCTCTGCTGTTTGTGGCTCCTATCCCCAATTTAACTGATCTTTGCGTTTCGTATCCCACCCTGAACACTAAACCCTTTTTGCCAAACCCCAAACCCTAGGTACCTCTGCTGTTTGTAGCTCCTTGGCCCGAGACTGTGGGGAAACCTCACCACACATTCATCACCGAGTGACAAAGCCCATCCGGATGGGTTTGAGTTTAGGGTGTAGAGTGTAGGGCTTCGGGTTGAGGGTTTGGGGGCCATATGAAATTTCCGACTTGAGGGGGTACCTTATTGGGGTTCTTATTGTCAGGGAGTCCTACTATTTGGGGTCTATAGTAGGGTCCCTTGTTATCGTAAACCCCCCCCACATCTCAATCTCATCCTCATTTCATTGTATCTTAATTGTAGAGTTGTATTTGCTATTGTTTTCTGGAACAGATTAACGAGAAATCATATTCTCAATAGTTTGATCAAGCGAGACTTTTGAAAGAAATACGTCATCGTACACGTGTCCTGCCTCATTTTTTTTGCAATTGCAATCCCCTAGGCTAAGAAATTGCGGATGATATCACCTACTGAGCGTGCAGATGACACGGTTTGTGGATGGAATGGGCCAATTGTCCTCATCAAATGTTCGAGCTTGGCCTTACCACAATGCTGCACCCCATCTAGACAGCCCAGAGTCAGACCCTAAATCCTAAACCCTGAACTGCAAACCCTGAACCGTAACCCTAAACCCTGAACCCTGAACCCCAAACCCTAAACCCTAAACCCTAAACCCTAAACCCTAAACTCTAAACTCGAATTGACTTCGCGGGAGGCCTTGCGGGGGCTGACGCCTCCAAGGCCTCAGCAACTACGCTTCGGGCAAGGAAGTGCAAAGCTCTGTTAGGGCGTGAGGGGGTGGTTTAGGGTTTAGGGTTTAGGGTTTAGGGTTTAGGGTTTAGGGTTTAGGGTTTAGGGTTTAGGGTTCCCTAACCTCGAGGCTGAAGTGCCAGGTTAAGGTGCAGGGCTTGGGTTCAGGGTTCGGGGCCGGTTTTTGTGGTGGAGCGCACCCACGTGGCCAGTCGTGGCTACCATGGCACTGGCACTTTCCTCCTGGCACGATTTCTGTGCCATGGATGCTTGCTTCGGGGGTATTGGGGGTTCTCTGAAGCAGTTTTGGGAAGGAACACCAAACCCTAAACCCTAAACCCTGAACCCTAAACCCTGAACAAAGTATCACGCCGCAGGCACGTAGGCCGCGGGCCGGTATTGAGTGAGTGCTTTCCGTTCACATATCCCAGCTAGCCGTCCATGGGTCTAGCTTAGCTATCTATCCCTTCCATCTGTTTATCCCTGCCCTGAAGCCAAGCCTGAAGCCCCAAGCCCTCTACCCCAAACCCTAAGGCTGAAAGAAAGCAGCCTCCAGACCCTGTTCTCGGCCTGTTGTGTCGACTTCAAGCATCGGCGCAACTCATCCCTCTCCACCATGAGGGTCCTGTTAGAGTCAGCTTCGGGTTCAGGGTGCTTGGGGCTTAGGGTTGAAGGCTTTAGGTGTCCTGGGTGTCTACGGCCTTGGGTTTTGGGGTTTGGGGGTTGTTGGGTTTTGGGGTTGGGGTCGTGGGGTTTGGAGTTTTGGGGTTTAGGGTTCTTCACATGGCATTTAGGGTTTAGGGTTTAGGGTTTAGGGTTTAGGGTTTAGGGTAAGGAGTCTTGGACAGCCGCTGCATCTGCTGCTGGAAGACCGCGGCTCGGAAGAACATACGCCCGACACTACATAGCAACTCGAAGCCCTAAACCCTAAACCCTAAAACCCGAAACCCTAAACCCTAACCCGAATTGCATCGGGCGGCCCGCAATGCTTACCTTGCCCCCGGTCCAGTTCAGCCATACGCAAGCAGTCCGTCAAGTCCTTGAGCTTTTCAACCCTAAGCTCTATAAACCCTATAAATCCCGATACAAAAACCGATGAAGCCCTACGAGCAAAGCCCAAACTAAGCCCTAAGCCCAAACCCTATAACCCTAAACCTTAAACCCTAAACCCTGCAACCTTATAACCCTCTAACCCTCAGCCCGCACTCTCAGAACCCGCCGTCTCCTGAAGTCGGCAATGCTGATGTCACTCCAGACCTCAGCTAGCGGTTTAGGGTTTCGGGTTTAGGGTTTCCTCAGCTAGCCACGTTTTTTTTGCCCCCCGTCTAGCCACAGCACGGCGGGGTTGTCTGGTCGGAAGTAGGAGAAAAACGACCCTTCAAAGGACTTAGGCCTCATAAGGACGCCTTGGATGATTGGAAAGAGTAAACTACCAAGGGTTTAGGGCTTAGGTTTTGGGGCTTAAGGGTTCGGTTAGGGTTCCGGGGCTTCGAAAGAGTGAGGGGTGCCTATTTCGCAATCGTCGGGTTTCCTTATTCTGTGTACAGTAACTTGATGTAGGCTTTTCCGGAAGGAGGAGTGTCCCTCTTCCAACCCCAAAATATAGCATGATCCCCTTCCAAAGGACCCCAAGAAGGGACCGATGACTTTGGGGAACCTTCATCTGTGTCTCTTAACAGCACCAAGAGGAGGGTCGGGAATCACTGCTTGGCCGTAACCATGACAGGCCTGGGCAACCCTCCCAAAACCCTAAACCCTAAACCCTAAACCCTAAACCCTTTTTTATCGCGGACCTCTGAAGCCTGTCCGGATCCCTTCCAACCGATTCCCCAAACTCTCAAACTCCTCACCCGTCCCTCCCAGCACAGACCTGCTCACTGCTGTTGCTGCTGCAACTGCCGTTGCGGCTGCGGCAATGCAGCTCACTGAAACCCAGCAAGTATCTATGTACATGTGAGCAGCCTCGCCAGAGTTAAGGATCGGAATAAGAGTCGATCTGCACAAAGGGGAGTTGGGGAGAGCAAAGTGTGAGAACAACGGATGTCTATGCAGCCTC